AAAAAAAAACCCCCCCCCCCCCCCACTCTCCATAAATAACGTCTGTTTCCATGAAAATCAAAGCATCATCCAACATGCGCCCCATACAATACAAAGCAATATATCACAGAAACCCTTCGTCCATGAACCAGTCTTAAGGGCTGTTTCCAAGGTAAAAAAGAAAAACGTCGCGGCCCTTCGCGACCCAGAAAATATTCGAAATGAAAACAGCAACCCTATTGGTTAATCGATCCGAATACAATCTACAACCCGAGCCCTGCAGGTTCGAGAAAGTCGGCGCCAAGGGTGCTTTTAAGGGGGAGGGCTCTGGGTTAGCCTAGGAAATGTGGTTGAAAATGGAGCTAGAGGCTCGTGCAGCCACGACACCAGGAACCAGGTCACTGTCCCACTTTACGCTTTTCCAAGCAATAAATGTTACCCTCCCCGGCCCACGTAGCCGCCATCTACACATCTAACTACCCTAACCAGCCAGCTATGCACCTGGTGCATGGTAACGTCAAATTTCAGCCCTGTATTTAAAAATTTGTCTCCAGCTTCTCGTTCGAGTCAGATGCGCCAGGATACACAGTACATTCCGTAGAATGACTTTTCCCAGGGGTAGTTTTTTTGCACATCGCGCAGGTGCATGCAAAATGCACCTGCGAGAGGGTTCGATTTTTCTTAGCTGAAAGCTTAAAGTTGAATTTACAAGGAATGGCCATAAGCACAAGTGCCTGTAAAGCTACCCTTATCAGCAGCCACCCTTTCGCGATACACGATACGGGGCTACTGGCGGGGTTGTAGTACTCTCTTCTAGGGGTGCAGCTGCACCGCGAGCCAAGCGCAACTGTTCGATACGAAGGTGCAACGGCCGTCGGCCCCGAGAGCATATCTAGGCCACCACCCCTAGCGAACCAACAACTCCTACCCCTCGACAGTGCACAATAGACCGATCCACGTGTCGTGTATAAAACAACCCCCCGTCGTCCTGATTCTTGAATCATGACACCAGGGAGCGCCAAGGGATTTACACGCGGAAAATAGCCTCTTCCTACGACACCCTGATTGCACCCTAAAAGTCGTCCAACGAATTTCACAATTTTTCTCGAAATTAAAATTTTTCCATAAACCGCTTCACCTAGCCCAACCCTACTGCTGCGTAGAATAGTACCTGTGTCCGAGGGACACCACAAGGGTTGGAAAAAAGAAAATAGATAAATTTATCATGGGGGTGCTTTATACGCATCTGCTTAGATACGTGGAAGGGTAGTCTCAAGGCCCCTACGTTCTCAAAGCAACTGCGCATCCATGGTCAGGCCTCTGTCAGGGCGGTTCAGGGTAGTAAACAAACCCAAGGGGTGACTCATTTTTACTACGCAATGGCTCGCAACTACGCATATCGGTTTGCCGTTAAATATAATATTTTAAAACGGTCGCAAAGACACCCCTCAAATCTTGATAGCTCAGCACGCATAGTCCATACACGATACCATACCAGATACAACATAACGTACCTATAGATACGACTGTTATATGCATATGCACACGTGCTATATATCAACACTGTACAGTCATAGCAAAAGTCACAGTCAGACACGTTTTAAGATCACGAAGAAGGACAGAAATCCGACACGCCATCCAGAGCTGCGTTCTACTTCTTCGTATCGAGCGTGGGTCCCCTGGGAACTTTAATCCCCTTGAAATAAAGTGAAATATACAAAAAGCGCGTGAGCCGCCCCTGGGCACTGATTTTCATGTGGTACAGGGACAAGTAAAAATTGGTGTTTCTCAATATTCGCAGAATGATCACGGCGCTGCCGGTACCTTCGGTGAAGGTCTTCCACAAAACTTATTACCAAGAGAAAGGTACGAGAATTGGAAACAGCCAGCCGGGAAGCCCATTGGCCGACAGCGAAGCTGTCCTCGCCTTGGACAAGGAACCACCGGAATATTATTTTTGCGGCAAGGTAAGCGTTATCGACGAAGCAAGAAACTACGCGGTATCTATTTATTATTTGATTACGTGTAACATCCCCATTCTAGCACCCTTAGTCTCGTATCCTAGATACGTATCTATAGAGGGATACTAGATAAATCAACAAATTCGATCCGCTTCCAAAAATAGAGCCAGTCGACGCTTTCAATTCTACTTATTTCTAGACATTTCGATTAGTGTGTACATTCCGATTGGCACTCAGCCTGCTTTTTTCTCCTTAATTATTAATCGCACCCTTTCACGCAAACCTTTTAATTACATTACCAGCCCATTCAGGACCAGACTCTAAAGGCTTTGATATTTCTTAAACAGTACCTACCAGTAATGTACTCGATTGTTTTTATACAATCAATAACTAGAGGAAAGGTGTCTGAGACGTTATAGGGAATAACAGGGGAATATTTATGCCCTCTCAGACAGCTTTCCCCTATATATAAAAATTAGCAACAATTATGTACCAAGAATATAAAATCACTTGCTACATCTGTATATTAACCCTTTGGCAACGTGAATACGTATATGTATTTGCTTGCCTCGAAAGATTAATTAACAATTGATCAGACATATTTTAATCCAGAAATCGAATACAGCTAAGCGCATCGCGTGAGTCCTCAACATTCAGGGCCGCACGAACTAAAGCAATACGTATACAAACATCCACGTGAATTTTGTTTCACGATGATTTCACGACGCGTTCAGTACGTACGAGTAACGCTTTGAGATTTTTACAAATTTTCTTTTCACTTTGGCATTTTCTTCTTTTTACACTCCTCTCATATACTCTACAATGGATAATAGGAAATTCCATAGTCGCAAGGATATGCCGTGGCATGTCGACCTTGTTTCAAAGGTTAAGGTCATCTTGAATGAGAATGGGAAATGCAATAGAAGGAGTTGAAGGTTCATAAAACCACCCTCCCCGTCAGTCACTTCAACCCCTTCGTAGTACCGATCTTCACGCTCGTTACAAAATCGATAACAATTATTGAACGATAATTGATCCAACATACGTCATACATATACAAAACAACACGTGCGTTACCACCGAATGAATTTTCACACGAGAAAAAGATTTGAGCTGTTTGAACCCTTTTTCATAATGGCGAAGAAAAAAAAAATGTTCACGATAACACTGTGACAATAGATAACAGAATTGATTAATAGTAATTGCGGACATTACCGGATATTACCATTACACGTACAACATTCGAAATTACGTAGGTGTCTATATATACGAAACACATTAGAAAAAAGAGTGACGACAACAGCCAGCGGTAAAAAGCCGAAAGCGTGGGTGGATATGGCAGAACGAGAAGTGACGTCACGAACAAGATATCCCGTGGGCGTAAGGTGTTCGAAGAATATATATATATATCTACACGGCACACCCTACACGGATAGTACGCAGAATCATTAAGAAAGGAACGGAAGTACCTTTTTACATAATAATATAATTTCCATTACTTTTCGAAAAAATTTACGAAGTTACAAGATTTACACCCACGCGTGCATTATGAATCTATATTAATGTAATTTCTATTTAATTCTATTTTCTAAGGGATGAGATCGATACGAGCCCAGCATCCTGCTCTCGATAATTGAATTCACCGCCAAAACATTAGTCTCTCTGGTACACTAGCCTATACGGATACACCCAGTGCACGTTGACTCCCTGAGCAGATAACATGACGTTTCCATCAACGTGAAATTTGACTTGACTCGAAACAAGTGCACGTGCACCTAATTATTTTAATTGGCAAATTCATTTATCGCATCGCAGGTAAACTCGCTCCACGTGGTAGTCGGGTCCCTACTCCTGGGCGCTGTGGTCCTCGTCGTGGGTCTGGTGCAGCTGGCGCCCGGAGCTGAGGCTGCCCAAAATTCCGCAGCGCTCATAGCCGCCGGATGTGGACTCCTGGTGGTCGGGGTACTTCTGGCGCCACTGAGGGCGCTCTGCATCAGGAAACAGAAGGCTGCACAAAAGGACGGTACTCATCAGCGAAGTGTGACCAGCATAGACATGCTACTAGCTCAGCACAGGTTATTAGAAGATCAAATAATAATATAGACCTCAAAGTCATGTCCTCGTAAGATGATCAACCGGTACCACCTTTCAATTCAACAGAGACTTCACCGTCCTGACACCGGATGAACTCGAGGATCTGGTTGGTCGATCCACGGCTGCCCTGGAGAGCAAGATCCGCAAGCAAGGTCACAGCACCTAGGCCCAGCTGAGCTCGAAGGATTCCTCCAGGAGTAGTCTACCCACGTCCCCGAAGTCGCCATCCACCTCGTCCTCGCAACAGTCGCCCAGGGCGAGCTCGATCCTTTACACCCATCGATACGACTCCAGGAAGCACAGTCTTGTCTAGCTGGTCGTTTAGGATTTTTCAATCTCAAAACCTGAAACATCAAACGGACCCTGGTTGTTCTCTGGATTTTTTTTACCCGCCCATCATAAGGCCCCCACCAAGGTCGCGCGGACTCTCGCCCACGGGGATACATCCAGGGTCCCATCGTTACGCAAGGACACTCTTTCGGGTCACCTGCCGAAGGCTGATTTCATGATCATCTTTATTGGATGCATGGTCGAACTGTATTCGGGGATTAAGGATTTTCGTTTTATCTTATAGTGGGGTTAGCTTTTCCTAGGATCACGGGATTCCTACGAGTTCATATATGTGACGCAAGGATCGCGCGTGGACTTTGCGAATTTTTCGCTGTTCCTTCGACCAATATGCGTTGCAGGCGTATCCTTGCTAATTCTTATATGCGTAAACTGTGTTCTGAGGGAAGACGAAGAAAGAAAAAAAAAAAAAAGTGACAATGAAGAGCGACGCGCGGGAAGATCGTAAAGTTGATAAAGAATAATGGCGTAGATAAAAAAAATGAAGTTTTCACATTTTGACATTTTCCGAGGAATTTCTCAAAAATCAACTTTCGCTATCGACACACGTGTACCCAGTAAACACATAATACGTTGCGTGTAATAGTTATATCCTGATACGTGTATGACGTAATGTCAGAGTAAAAGTTTGAAAAATGGTTTTTTAATATATTTATTACATTTACGTATTTTGTGTCTTCTGGGTATATACGACATATATGCATCTATATATATACATATACATAGTGATATCAATACGCATACCATACATGAGACGTAATATGGTCATGGCGACGATATTTGAGATATTTCGAATGAGATAGGAGAGAATTAGAAAAAAAAACGATAAAAATAAAAAAGTGTCGGGCTCGTAAAAAAAAAATGATTAAAAACGTGAAAAATTTAGCTGCCAAAAAAGCCCAACGGGATTTCGCGTGTGCGATGTAATTCGCGCAAATCGCATATACGCGAGAATAATAATAATAATAACCGACGTCGTTGCATCCTAGCGCGGCCGAGAAACATTATGAAAGTATTATTAACGGAGGGTCGAGAAATTGTTATTAAAAGAAGAAAATCATTCCAATCCATAGGTTCTCCCAATTATACATACAATTTACGCACGTGCGTGTCCACGATACTTAAAATACGGAGCCACCCGACAGACACGCCTGAATTATTATTGTTAATGCGAAAAGGACAAAATTGACTCCGTATAAAAAATTGTGTGTTCTTCGATCGTAAGACGCGACGATATACGCGATCCACGCACCTACCATCTTTGCTTTGCTCAAGTAACAATATGATTTTTTTTTTAAGAAAACGAAAAAAAATAAATAAAAAGCTTAGGGAACGTAGACAGGGCTTAACGGTATGAAGGGTTCGGTAAAGTGATAAAAATTACTTTTTTTTTTTTCTTTTTTTTTTGGAAACTCTCCGACAGACAATTAACACAGATGACAACAACGTAGATTTTTTTTAAGAATAATAAAAAAAATAAGATAGAAAATAAAGATTTATCGGAAGAAACATACGTCGCGCTATAATAGGTTGGTGTCGGTGTAAATGATAGTAGTGATAAGAATAACAATAATGCTACCAAGAATGATAAAAAAAAATCCAAGCATAGAAACATACAAAATCGCATCGGCTTTTCAGCCGCTGCTTCACGTAATGAAATATAAACGAAGGAAAACGAGTAAAAGATTAATGTCTTATTACGTACACAGTAGCCATATAATTCATAGCATTTAGGGAATCGCGTAGATTCTTGCGTGGATCGCGAGAGTAAATTTAGAAGAAGAAAAAAGATTAAATGAGGGAAAATGCAAACCTGACAATGTCTATGGACAAGGTATTGGTTACGCAGTTTATGAAGTTTAACGTGTTTTTTCGTAATTGGTCACCTTGTATATTGCATACAGCCCCATCTCTGATCCTGTGGTTCTATGACGTGTGCTATATGGCATTTTAGAGTCGACTATGGTCTCTGCATATCAATCGACTCTAAGTGAGTGAAATGTCCGAGATTGGTTGTAAATGAAAAAAAAAATTTTTTAATTCCTAAAAAAATTGTTAAATCTCATCACGTCTATGAAGAGTGATTGGTCTCGAGTGTTTTCGAAAAAAGTGACTCTAGTACTATCTTGTCATTTGGCTTCGATCGGATCGAAATATATTTTTTTTAATTGTAAAAAAAAAATAGACAAAAATTCAGATACTCGAAAATTCCATTCGCACACGATTCTTGTCAGGTCATTATCGTGAATTCAGTATATCGGAAAGTGACGTTGATCGACCAGAGATAAATATTCAAAAATATTCACGTAATAGGATAAAAGGATAAAACATAAGTCAAATTTGATTTATTTAGTAAAAAGCTCTATTTAGCATGTAAGCACTGTAAATAGTGTATGCCCGATTGAGCACTGATGAATTCGACGTGGCTTTAAGTAAATGAGTGAAATTAAAGCGGAGGAAAATGGAAAAAGAAAATAGAGGAAACTGGATAAGGGTCAGAAGGTGGGGGGGGGGACTGATTGGAGGGAGAAAAAAGCAAAAATTATGAAAACAAAGAGAACATAAAAGTGAGTAAGTAAATAAAATAATGTAATATTAAGCTATTCAACGCGCACACGTAACTTCTAAGAATGGAATTCGCGTTGCGATTATTAATTTTTGACTTTTAAAATTTTTTCAAAAAAAATTTGTATCCTGGTTTTTTCCCTCTTTTTTTTCAACTCGAAATCGATCCTTATTATTTTTTATTTCTCTATCTCTCCTTGTCCCATAGCACTAATAAAATCGAAAATCACGACGCGAATTCGTGACCTGTAAATATTTAACATTTGAGAATTTCTACGACGAAATACGGATTATATGTATAACTAACGCGCGTTAAGGTCAGGGGAAGGAAAATGGGTACTACGTCACTGGCCCGTAAGAAAATTATGTATAACATATGAATACTGTATGACAACGGAAAGCATACGTGAATCTGTAAAAAGTAGCGAGGGGTTATATTCTTGTTTATCTTTTCTTTCGGATAGAACATATATTCGCTTGGGTGAAGCATTGTGATGATAAACGATAAATTTTACGGTAAACGAAGAAATATAGGGGAAAAAAAGATAAAAAAGGGAAAATATAAAATAAAAGTAAAAAATAAAGGAATCGTCTAAATCGACCATTTTCCATATTCAAAAATGAAGACGACAAAGTTTTATCAAAATAGAAATGTACTTCCGTATGTTAAAACAAATTTTTTTAATACGAATATACAGAAAATGGAAGATTTGGATGTAGCGTGTGACGTTATTGCAATTTTCGTTCGATTAGGTTAACGATTGTTAAAAAAAAAGTGATGAAACAAGGAATTGACGTTTCGAAATTCGGTGTTACATTTAAAATTTCTCTAAATGACTTATTCTAATGTGTTTTAAAAATCAATGGACATATATCGATATATGTATCGTAATTGATTTCGAAGTGGATTTTCAAAATTAACGAAGCGATTAAAAAAAATACGAAAGTAACGATAAAATTGGAATTTGTCGACAAATGAATGCAAGAGCGAAGGAGTAAAGTTACAAAATGAAAAAATTAGGAAATAAAGTACATCGATACGTGTATACATGTACCTATGCATATAGGCATTTACAAGTGTCGAAGATACTGCGACTAAAATAATTTTATTATTACACATTGTAAGTAAATAATGCTCGATCCTTGCAAAATAATACCCGGAGTATTTTGTCGTGTACTATTATTATGAAATTCTGTACTAATATTAATAAAATTCGTAAACCGCTTAAGAATTAAGTTGTCCGTATATTTTGTAAGGCAAAGGCTATGGATAGTAAATTAATAAATATTAATTAATACTACACGAATTGGATACTGATTGTGAATAATAATTTCCTCATTACATGTAGCAATTATTAATTTCTTCCTTTAAGGTATTACTACGGTAAACTCAAAACCGCGTAATCGAGCTGAAATTTGTTTTACGTCTAATCTGCATAGCAGTACATCTCTCTACAAATTTTTAACACGATTCACTCATCAGTTTCCGAGTATTTCCGAGTTAAAGTCAGGACTCGTAACACGTATTCCCTATACCTGGCCAATAAAACGCGCATGGTTTTTTTTATTGCATTTGACTCGTCCGCGTAATTCCGATGAAAAACTAGTATGTGGCAAAGGAAAAAATTAGGAACTTTTTAGATTTTTAGTCAGAACTTTTTACTCATAGGATTTATTGCTAGACATGAAAGAAGTTCGATATTTATTACGAAATCTCTCGTACGACGGCTAGACAAAAGAGCGTCACGGCAACATTGCGTTTGAGACTGTATTCGGTGTATATACGTATACACTGCTACATCCAATGTACATTAGCGTGCGCCTATCGATGCAGGGATGGGCGTGCGTGAGTGAACTGTACCAGTTCAAAAGTTGACGTTGGATTGTTCAAATCTTACATTGAAACTTTTGTTTTCTTTTCGGTCCGTAGTAATACCTTAATATAATAATACATGTACAGATTTAATTTGCTGCATATCGAAAATATCTCGAAAGTATCGTTGCAGCCTTTCCACGATACCGATTGGTCATCGCTGTCGTCATTCAATGCTCGTGGATATGCTGATTGGCTTGCACGTTCGGCATTCAGTCAATTTGACAGATTGCGGTTATATTTGAAATATAAAGGTACGAAATGATTCTTTAATCGTTAATGGGAATTTGACTCGATGTGCGAGTAATAGGCCTCTGACTTTCAATAAAGAATGTGTGAAATTAATTATTAAAAAATAAAAGATAAGCGCATCGTTTTGCAAAATAAAAGCCTCGCGCCACTGATTCTGTCAAGTGAAAATGACAGTGAGCAAATTTTTGGTGTGTTCGCGTTAGTATAGAACTACTTTTTGATAATAAAAAAAAATTGTGAAAAATTGTCGGAAATGCCAGAAACATAATAGCCTGACAAATGTTTGGCGTTCGCATATACGCAACTCCACTTTCTGTTACTTTGCTGTTTATATCTCTGTCCGTATGGCTTTGTATTTGTCGTTGGATCTTTCGCTACGACATGAGAGACCAGGAGGTACGTCAATTATTAGTCTAAATCAAGTATAGGTATCGAATTTTATTTTTATAAAGCTATTACACCTAATACATTATTTCATAGATTGTCTATTGGCTGGTGGTGTATTTTATTGTAATCACTATACTAAATATGATATTTCTTGGACATCTACAATTCATATATGACTATCCACCTGGAATGAGGAATTGAATTATTTACATGACAGGTAGTGTGATTTCTATTATATACAATTTAATTTAGATTCAAACAATTCCTGCTAACTCGTGAAATAATTAAGTGACGTTGAAGTATTGTATGACACCTACGATTTATTTTAATTTTAGCCGTCTTTGATGTTTTTAATATCCCGCAAGTACTTGCGGTACCATCTCTGAGGGTACTACTGAACTGTCTAGATAAATGTTGAGTACTAGAAGCAGCTATTATGGATAACTATAGCAACAGCCAATGTACGTGGTCTCCGCCCTTAATAGCCCATGGTAAAGGACAGTATAATATATTAGTATCTAACCGCAGACTTTTATCAAATAAATTATCCCACAGGCACTGCTCATTGGTGCTATTTGTTTTCCAGCCATTTTTAATTGTAATAACCACGCCTATTTCCCCTTGCTAACTAGATAATTAATAGCATCATGTGGCCTGTTTTCCTGATACAATTTCTCAGTAGTATCAAATATTAGAGTGCACCTCTTGCTTTATGTTGAAAGCGTATTCTTTACGTCATACTGTACAATTTTAATACGAGTATCATGTAATAAGAGAAATATTTTATTCCTGGTTCTTACGCTCTTGCACCCTTTGATAATTTCCTTCCCAAGGTCTTGGACCTCGTACATTTTCCCAATTCTCAATATCCACCTAGAAATATAATTCTAATTATTATCCGTTTACAGTGTACAAATTGTACCAAAACTGTGAAACAAATAATTCATAATACAGGCATTGAATATTTTAATAATCCTATAACTTACATTCTGGACTTTCTCAAACTCCGATTCTAATGTAACCTCCTCACGTTTTTTAATATTTATACCATGCTTACTAGCCTCGTCACGAACACTGTAGCCTTCAACATTGCTATACTTGTACCTATCAAGAATTGATAAAATATAGTAATTAATATAATTAACACATAATACAGTGTGCAAGATACATACTTCAATTCAGTAAATTCTCTAAGTCCAAAAGATCCACCCAATATCAATACCATAAAAGGAACTCCTAATTTTACTAACTTCTTTTGAAAAAATTTTGGTATGTACATTGTGAAGAATGAATCTGTGAAAGTAAATATTAATATTACCTATGGATTGAAGCAATAAAAGAAAAATAATTGATTTAAAATATATTAAACTTTTCCTCCACTTATGAACCTAATATTTAAAATTGTCGAAAATGCCAGTAAGCAGAAAAAAATATAACCTAAATTCGTATATCTTTAAAAACCTTGCCAAGTGTCTAAATGAACGTGACATGCGTCAATATATAATTTATTAGTTAAATAAACAATAATCCTATTACTTGTTAAATTTTACACTGACCAACATTCGTAATTAGCCAAATACTTAGAATTATATTAATTCGTATTGGAAAATATTCCGGTTATCATAACCTGCAAATCACAAAAATATATCTTGTATCATGAAGACTAGAGAGTAAAACTGCAGTATACGACTCCAAACTGAAGTTGGCTGTTAGTCACTTAGGTTTTTTTCACATAACGTCATCTGTCGGATATAATGTGAATCGCATGGAATGATCACGCCGGTGATTACCTCAATAGGAGGTTCCTCACCTAGTTTGAACAAATCTACGAACCGTATCACCATTGCAACCGATCACACACAATCCAATTTAAGCAAAAGAAATAATAGCACACTTGTGTCACATGCTTTGCGAGCTACTAACGAAAATACATGCTTCTACATGTTTTATGCAAGCAGACGACATATTGTAGTAAAAAATCTCAAAGCAGTAGGTGAAATTTAATGCTCAATGTACAATCACAAGCTTGCACTTGTACATACTTATATTTTAAAATAATATGACGCATAAATTAATTATACACATTTTTAATATAAAAATATGTAATAATATCTTCATATCAAAATACATGTATACATAATAGGTGGAAACCCGTGTTGTCGCGCAACTCCATACACTTAATGAAGGTAAACTAACTTATTTCTTCGTATTTTCATACGACTAGCTCACATAAAAAGGCAGAAAATGTATTGTCACAACTAAGATTCCGCTGCTCGGTTCTCGCTTCCCGCTACTTTCGGTCTGAATGAGCCCTAAAGCCGTGGTGCCGAATATTAGGAAAGTCACTTTGTCCATGCATGTAGTATTTCGAATAGAGCGCACTGCTCTTATGCGATTGAAAATATGATGGCGGCGCGTCATCTGTTCTAACCTCATTTTAACAGAATATCTCTTTTTACTTTAAATTGAAAACAATAAGATTTCATTCAGTGAAAAATGCCCCCAAAGTGTAAATTTCAAGAAGGTAGACAAATTTTGCTAACTAAATTCATAACATTTTGTTTAACTAATTCAATATTTCTTAGGTGAAAAGGTTTTATGTTTCCACGGCCCGCTTATATACGAAGCAAAATGCTTAAAATCATCAGTTACCAGAGAAAAGCAGATTAAATATCTCATTCATTATGCTGGATGGAACAAGAAGTGAGTTTTACATATTTAAAAAATGTCAACTCTATGTTGAGTTAGAAATTCAATATTCATATAATTAATTTTTCCATGTTTTCATAATAGCTGGGATGAATGGGTACCTGAGAGTCGTGTTCTTAAATACAATGAGGGAAATGTACAAAAACAAAAAGAGGTACAACGTGCTCATGCAGCACAGCAAATGTCACAAAAGGGTAAAAAGGGAAGCAGCAGTGCAAAGGGACAAGTGCGAAGGAGTGAATCTGGCAAAGATAAAGATTCTGAAAGTAGAGGTAGTACACCAGTTCCTGGGAGTGATAAAATAGTTGGTCGTGGAAATAAAAATGGTGGAGGTTCTGTCACACCATCATCATCACACGATTCCTCTTCGGATGCTCCTCGCAAGAAACGAAGGTAACGTTAATGACATGCCTAGCTTTTTCAATTCATACATATACTTTAATTTATCATGCAGCCGCATAGATCCATCAGTGGAAACGGAAGAACAATTTGTCACAAAGGTAGAAGTTAAGGTTAAAATGCCTGATGAGCTGAAACCTTGGCTAGTTGACGACTGGGATGCAATTAGTAGACAACGGAAATTGGTTATTTTACCAGCAAGACACACAGTCGATCAAATTCTGGATGATTATGTAAAATTCAAAACTTCAAGCAAAACAAACAATCCTAACAAGTATGCGAACAAAAATTATGTTACTATATTAAAGAAATTTTTACTTTTCCCATAATATATATTTACTTGAACATATAATACATCAATATAGCAAACATTTTTTTAATTTCAGAGAAAGTGCTGTTCTAGAAGTAACAAAGGGTATTAGAGAGTATTTTAATGTAATGCTGGGTACCCAATTACTTTATCGATGGGAGAGACAGCAGTATGGAGAAATCATGGCAGAAAAAGCTGGTACTCCGCTGAGTCAAATATATGGAGCTTTCCATTTACTCAGACTATTTGGTAAGCCAATAATATTTGAAAATCCTTTAAGAATATTATATTTGGTGTCATAGTCTAACTCCGCATTTATCCATTTATTTTTATAGTAAAACTCGGCAGTATGTTGTCTTACACACCATTGGACGAAAGAAGTATCCAATTACTGTTAGCTCACATTCATGATTTTCTACGATATCTACACAAGAACAGCAGTGATTTATTCAGCCTCCAAGATTACGGGGCAGCACCTCCAGAATATCATCGAAAATGTAGTTAACTTCAATAAAATTCACTCATCAAACTGTTTAAACGTATATAGGGAGATTTACCCAAAATCTACCCATATGAAGATCAATTTGATTTTCTAGATAGAAACTTGATTCTAAAGTGAACAAGACTCTCAGAACTCGTAAAGGATTTGACATCGAAAATTTTTATAATTTTAAGGATATCACTCAACTAAGTTCTACATATTTAATTTCCAGAAGTATCGTGAATACTGTGAACCAATACAAATGTTTCTACGTCGAGTCATTGATTCGGATTAATAAAAGCAGAAAAAATGTTAAGACCCATTTTAAATAATTCACGATACGATCCTGTTTCCATAAAAGATTAATTATAAACAGTTATAAAACTTAATTATATTCTCATCTCAAAATGTCTTCATATACGATATAACGTCCAACGGCCCAGAAACCGATACTATTAATAACTCTTTCGTAAATCCATGGAATTCGATGATCCCGTCACAGTAAACAAGCGAAAACTTATTGACTTGTTTTATTACGTTCATAATTACCATTGCGACTACGTTACCATTTCTCTCATTTCCCGTTTGACGCAATTTTCATTTGGTCACAAAAACGACAGTCACTTTTGTCTTCAATTCCCTTGTGCCTTTAAGCTGACATTATTTTTCTACCAAATATCATTGTGTCAGAAGGACACGTGCGCCGTATCTCATAACACTGATTGCATTAGGTAATTCATCAACATATTTCAAGTATGAGACACACTTTAAACGAAGATAATATAACAAAAAGAAATCCAAAAATTTTTAACAAAAAGTACATGGAATATTATTTGCTCTGTTTAATGAAAAAAAAAGATCTTTTGTACGAAATAGTAGAAAACAGTCGATCCATTAATTATAATCAGATATTAATTTATTTTTAATAACAAAAATATTCAACGAACGCATGTGCCACAGAATGTTCCGTCAGGTGTCGCCATCTCTCAGTAGTACGCGAAGCTCAATATCTTTTTAAATAGATCATTTGAATACAGCAATGGTATCTATTTAAATCGTATCGCAGGAAGCTTTCACCTAGTTTACATAGCTTCCTATAAGCCAGAGTAAGTCAACATGAATGTACATTCGTAAACGTACTAAGCTATACGGATGTAAATATACATATATGCGGATATATATAGAACGTATCTGGTGTTTACTTTTCTCTCTTTCGCTCTTATTTACTCAAATGTGAGAAGCCTCAGTTGATTTAAAAACGGCCAGGCAGGAATAGAGGCAAAAAAAAAATTTTTTGAATAGCAAAATTATTAAAAATTCAAGTTCAAAGTCACTACAAAACGTGTAATTTATTGTTTTCTCTTTTTTCTCATTTACGTTATACGATCAGCTTCAATAACGTTATGTATTTAGAGAAATTCCTTTTTACGTGAAGAAAAATAAAAAAGTGAGAGTCGTCATCCTGGGGAAAGCACATACCTTTCTCTCTTACTCGACGTTTCATAAAAACATAGCAATATCTGTATAAATATTGTGGAATGCATAACTCAAGACCGCGCGAAACGATAAGAAATATTACCGATGTTATACACATAGGTGTATATGGCCATAATGATTTTTCCACAAATTTGCATTCTCTCATGGTCATTCGTTTAGTTTTATGGAATTAGCAATTTCAGAAAAAAAATCTGTCGATTCTCACGTATGCGGGAAACATGAAGATGACTCAACGACTGGCAAAGGAACTCGTCTCATAAGTGGAAGTAGGGCAGCGACTAACGTCCTTGAGTACATCGGCGCCATTTTCGATAGTATAGAGTCATTATCTGAATCCAATTATATAAACAAATTATACAGTATTGTCACAAATTATACGATATTACGCATGTACGTCAATTCAAAATTTGAGAGAATTTTATATAAAACGATTTGACCTTCTACATTGACTGACACGGTTTAGCAGAAAAATAAATGAGATTGGGATCACTTGTAGCTCTAATAATGAAATTACCGTTTCCTCGAAAAGCAATGGGTTAATCATTTATTTAGAATATCCTTCGCTACGTAATGACGTGTTTCGAATTAAGCTAAAAAGGAAAACGACGGAATATAAGTCAAGGCTATAGCCGGAAGACACTTACCCAGTTTTCCTTATAAGGTTCCGAATTGCCGGCGTAGTATGGGTATAGAATTTGATGGAGGCAGCGTCTTTACTCCGATATTTGGCGTCTCTATACATATTGTGGTAATCGCTCGTACACACTAAAAAAATCAATGCGTTAATACAAATCAGGTAGATTCTGATCCTGGGAAGCTTATCGTTACTTTTCGAATAATGCGATTGATCGACTTGACCGTCCGCCGATAAAACAGCACATTAATTAAGTTCAAGAACATTAAAAAAAGAAACCACGAGATTTATAGGTCAGAAATTATTACTTTGTACGAATTATTAATTGACGATCATTAATTCAATCCAAAAATGAATCGTACCTTAATGACACTCAGTGAAATAATTACTCGCAATTAGTCTTACGATTAAATGCCAGCATTAAAAACAATTAATTATTTTGCCATGCGCTACTGAGTCAACGAAAATGAAAGTGAAAATAAACACAGTGATCTCGAATTCAAATACATAATCTTTAATATTAACTGTATCCAATCGATAGTCACAGAGTTCTAAGTTATAAACTCATTGAAGAATCACAAGTGTCTACCACGATGCGTCACGTCGTATCTTGAAAAACATACATACCAGCAGGAATGTCATCAGAAATCTTTTCAGAAGTATTTCGTTTCACGTTCCAGACACGTTACTCATCTCAGAGAAATGGCGCCGTTATTGGTATTGCAATCGAGTCCCGAAAGTATTTCGCGCGTGAAGAGTCTCGAAACATGAAATTACGTTAGGACCGGCGACAGTCCTTACAAAATAAAAAGAAAAACATGGCAAGAGAAAGAAAAAGAACGAGCAATGTATGAAAAGATAAATGCAGCCTGTTGCTCTCGCGCCATGCCAATCGTCCACCGATTGGCCCTGACATGTATAAGCAGTTCAGCCAAATACGGCATAAAATCCTTCCGAGATTCGTAGAGTAGTTACGAGCTACGTTACCTACGGTCGGTAATGTCGCTATCTATCGTAAGGTACCCTTACAAGACGTTGACCTTTATGGTTCAGGGTCTGCACGCCATGGCCACATACACTTAAAAGAAAAACTTTGAAAAATTCAACGATCTATACGTACATGTTAAAAAGAAGAGAAAGAGAATGTGATAACGAAAAATGCAGTTCGAAACAAAATGAACGACGACCTTGCTCTGAGATTGGAGTTGAAAAATTACACCATGGCAAATTAGCTCGGGTGTACGCGTGCAGACCAAAAATCGTGCAAAAGGATATATTGTATTAGTTGGTAACGCTGGCTACTACCAAGTGGATTTATTTTGTCACGACAACGGCTAACGTCGGTGGTGGTGGTGATTGTGGCAGCAACGAATATGGTGGTGGTAGTGGTACTCTGGCAGTGGTGGAGGTCTGCCTAGGTATTTTTCGATGGAAATAAGCAAGTAAGAAAGGAGGGAGATCTCAGCGAGATCCTGAAACGCCAGTCGCTACTTGACTCGCAACTTAAACGCACACGTCACTCGACGAACCTTCCGTGCCATACGTGAGTATATCTAATCTCAATTTTTTTATTCATTTCTAATATCCATACCTAGTGGTACCCCCTATTCGTAATTTTCTTACGGTAAGATTTGTTTCTGACGATTTTAATCCCCTCGTTTGTTGCACGGTTTCTTTTTATCAATATTTTTTGTTTAAGAGTTTTTTCACACATTTTTCTCAGATTTTAATCTATTTTACAAGATTAAAAATTTAATTTTCAATAGTATAAACATCGCAAAGCGATTTTTGAAAAACTACATTTTTTCATTTTTATTTCTTGTATAAAAAGTATGTTTTCGATCCATGTCTAAATCGATCTATAAATTTTGTTCAACCCGTTGCATCTTAGATTTCAAATTATAGTCCGAGCGTGAATAATGAGATAGATTCAGAGAAAGATTGTAAGATAATTCCACGTAGGGCAGAAGACGATTTCAAAATTCGAGTAAATGGCAACGTCGCAAAATGTGCCGGTAGCAGCGGTAACATAATACACTATAAATATCACAGCGTGTCCTTTAAAGGTCCACATGCGGCGACCGGCGAAATTTTGATTTTATGAATTAAAAACATTTTACACAATACTTGCTTTCATTCTACTAAAACGTACCGCAAACGCAACGGTCTTTTAAAAAGAATTCCAACGAAAAATACTTGATATAGTTGACGCAAGAGGGCCAGCATATAAAATAAATAAAGTTAGACTGCTTTGTGTATGAAAGAAAAAGTAATAATAAAAACTCGTATCGTATTACGAGTTGCATCGCAAGCAAAAATTCAGTAGTTTCTTCGAGTCGACAATATTATCAAACAAAAGAATGATTATCGTGAGTCCGGCATTTCGCAACGTCAAGCATAACTGTCTACCAAACGTTGACATAGCATCGTACTATGAGAACGATACAGATAAATTTTAAAAAATGAACATACGCCATGCACTGGTATATACATACTGCACCAGCAACCGAAAAATCAAAAATTATATTTTGAAAAATCAAAAATTTCATCAACATTGTTTCTCACGAGTTATTAAACATATTCATTCAATCGGTATAGTAAGATTCGACAATGGATTCTTCCGTGACTACGGAATTTCGACCTTGAAAACGAAAAAATAGTTGATATAATTTGGTGGCAGGTAACGAGACACCGTGTTTCGTCGCGACGTCGACGTCCGTTACGAACGTAACCCGAAAAGGCCCGAAGCCTGTTCCGAGTTTGTAATTTTGCCCCTCTCCTTGCGAACTGATCTAGGGATTCGCCCCCCTCGCGCTGCCCTTACCCTCCCTTCCCCTGTACTGTCATAACCGAGTGCCACGCCCCTAGTGGCAGCACTAGTTACAAAAATAACCCTCTCATCGCATTTCAGCCGGACGAAAAACTCGCCACTTATTGCGACGGTTGGTCGTTGCTCCTTTTACGAAAAACGGAAAATACTCGTTTCCGTATTTGTGAGTTTTTTTTTGTTTTCATACCGCCATTTTAAACCACCCTGTTCATTCAAGATGGTTGTGCTTTACGCGCATAACACAGATGGTTCACCTAATGAAGCACTGATATACTTATCGAGAACAATACATAGATTAGTATTTTATTTGATTCGAAAAGATTAGAAGATGGTTTATTGTTGCTCGTTAAAAAGTACCCTTGAGGCGATACATTAAAGTTGAATTATAGAATTATTTTTTATATTTCAAGCATGACAGGTTATCACGTATTTTCGAGTGAAATGTATGTAGAAATCAATTATGTAATTCATAATTGAACAATTTTTTCATTATCTCGAAAAGAGAGAAAAATTGTTCTCGATAGTTCTTCCTGTTCCCTAAGAAACTTCCTAGCCCGGATTTTCTTTCAAGCCAAGAGCTCCCTCTATAAATAGGTTCCCTCGTCATTCGCTAATTATACACCAATGCACGAACGCTCTTGACTCCCAAACCGAAAACTTGGTTGAGTTTTGCTCGATCTTTTTGAGGAGTCTTGCACTGATTTTCATATTACGCATTAATGCTGTAATAGATCTGAGAGACGTTGGAAGGTCGTTGACAGTCAGAATTTTACTTCGTTGTGAAGTTTGTACGTCAATATAAAACTAACTTTCTGAATACTTAATACAATAGTAGCTGTTATCCATGGTAATTTCCATGGAAGATGCAGATTGAAATACTACAGGATATTGTTTGAAGGAAGCAAGTTAAGCTCTGTTTCTAATTAGACTTGGTAATTAAAGCTTGTTTCGACGTAAATTCTGAACTATCTGATTAACTAGATTAATAATTATTTATGAACCTGAAGGCGTCTTTGCCAATGGTCAGCATAAGAAAAAGTGAAAAGTATAACAAAGAGAATTAGACGAGTCATAGCAATATCAGTCATCACTATATGTTATACATTTATAACTGTGATAATGGATATGATAGGGCTGTCATCTGTCAAAATTGAGTCGTTTGCCATGGATGATAAATGTAGATATTTTTTAATGCGATGATATTCTACTTAGATAAATATTTTAATTCAGCCATTAGGTTATATGCAATAAAATTTAAATTAAAAATGTATAATGTAATAAAATTTACATTAAAATGTGATTTGTGTAGTAAACGAAATAGGATGTAGGGTAAATGGGGTGTGGTGGTTCCACCACGTAATTTTAGTATAGTAAGTCAGTAGACAAAAATTAGCATATCTTTGAGATTTTGGAAACCAAAAAATTCCTCTAATAACCAAAAAAGCCTACTCATCGAATAATTCGATAGCAGACGTTGTCAGAGCGCTAAATGATGTTTTTGTATTGCTGTTGTAGATTCTTCCCGCTAGAGTGCAAGTAAAAAAACTCTGCAAAAATGGACGCGATCAAGAAGAAGATGCAGGGAATGAAGCTGGAGAAGGATAACGCGATGGATCGCGCCCTTCTCTGCGAACAGCAGGCTCGCGATGCCAACGCGCGTGCCGAAAAGGTATATTGGATGATATGCAAAAAGAAATACCTGATGAGCTCTGATGTCTTTTAAGATAAAAGTATTCAATTAAAACGATGATCGTTTCCATTAAAATTAGGCCGAGGAGGAGGCCCGTGCGCTCCAGAAAAAGATCCAGACCATTGAGAACGAGCTCGATCAGACCCAAGAGGCCCTAATGCAAGTTAACGCCAAGCTCGAGGAGAAGGACAAGGCTCTGCAGAATGTAAGTAAAAATTATAGAAAGTATATTTATGAATTAATCCAAAAAGAATCGTCTAGACGTCTCTACGTCAATTAGCTACGGGGAGAGAGAGAGAGAGAGAGAGAGAAAAAGAGATAGGATTATAATGACATTTCAAAGACCCTTCATATTCTTAAAATTTGAAATTTGCGCGAGAAAGAGCGCCTCTATCTCGTGTCCTTAGAAGCCTAGAACGACATTACCGACAGTAAATGACATCTAAAGGCGAGCTCTTGAGACTGTTTACCAATGCTAAATTTATCACAGACCGAAACCCATAACCAATTAGCGTATGGTTGTCCCAACAGATGGCCGACACGTCGCGATACGATCATCATATACATATATTTATCACCCTGACTCAAGAGCAGAGTAATCAAGTACCAATAAAATCAAATAGATCGCATTTTGATCGCTTTCGAATTCCAATACCCCAGATACATACGACGCAGTATCTCAGTACGCCGATAGATGTCAGGTCACTCGCATATCTCGGGAGAACAGAGTACAGCCGTTAGAGGTCAGGGCACTCGTGGCGATCAGGCGCGTGTGCTGGCGTCCCCGTCGGTTCGACGGAACGTTCGTTCGTGTAGTGTGTCGCGCGGTCGCCGACAGGAAGCGTGGAGCAGTGACAGCTAAGATGGCGGAGTGTCTGGTGTGGTGGTAGTAAGGCAGCGTGCTGGTAGAGCAGATGAGCGGTGGTGCACCGGGTGCCTGGGACAGTCAACATAACCTCGAGAGAGTCTCAAGGATTTGGAAATAAATACCATTCGAAGGAGGATGGAGCAGTCGACGGCGTCGACGGCGAGGCGTCGCGGGCACCAGCATCACCCCCGTCACGCCACACGTCGACGTCTCGACGCCTCCAGCAGAGGACCCGCGCAGTGTGGTCCTGGAGGAGGCGCCCTGGCACCAGAATCATCCTCGACGGACACCTCCCCGTCGAAGGATGACATTGATACTCCGATCGTGAACTTACTAGGTCAGACCACCACCACATCACCACCATTATCAGCAAAACAAAAACATGATACCTCATTGCATCCTGGCGATGTCAGCAGCACATCGAGCTACGATCGGAGTAAAGTCCAAAGGCCCGCGCAGTGTGGCCAGGACGAGGATGTCCATTCCCAACGAACTAGACTATCCGATAAGTTATGTGATCCTGTCGTGATCACTGACAGTCCTATCTCCAAAGGTCAGGACTACGACGATAGCAGCGAGCCTGAGCACGCGGTCGCGAGGGCTCGCGGCGATGGCAATTCCGACGATGAGGGTCAGGTCATCGAAGAGGATCCTGAACTCGCCGAACTTGCCAAAATGAGATGTCCAAGTGAACGTACCGAGGTACAGGCCGAGCGTGAGGCACGTCGTCGTAAAAGGTGTGCCGATTATCCTGGCCTTGCATTTGGAAGCTCGATTTTCTCCAGCGACACCATGATGAAGTTCAGTCTCATACGAAACGAACTACAGAATATCATGGGCAATCAGCTGAAGCGGGTCAGTATTATTATTATGCGAGGTTAGACTGAAGATAAACTTCGGCTGTACTCGTCCTTCCTCGACCTTACTACCTCCACTTTGGTACTACTGCATCTCCCACTCTCGATTGCGCCACCCATTTTACCCTCTCTCTCTCTCTCTCTCTTTAATTTGCCCTAGTCATTGCTCTAACTACGCGAGGTTCGCCAATCGTCTTTGCTGAGACTGCTTTGTCACGCCTACACAGCGGTGACACACTGGGGGCTACACATTCTTGTATTTTGACACATACCTTTGCCATTGCGCTTTTGAACTCTAGCGAGATATGTGTATGCTTACGGTACTACTAGCCATTGCCATGGAATTTCCTTAGAACACAGAAAAACGTCTGCATAACGGTTTAATCTGGAGTTATCGGCAAGATCCTGTTTCTTGCCGATTTTCAAATAAATTGATGCAGAAGACATGTTTCACATCAATCACGGTGGATACTTATCAATATGTTTTTTTACGCTCCATTTGCCCCGGTAGTGTGTCAGATGTTTTCCTTTTTTTGCGAACGTCACCAACGCGATTCTAAAAATAATACACGTCGCTATAAACGATCGTGCGAATCGCACCCGCTTTCTGAATTGCGTAAGAACTGCCAGCAATGTACGAGTTTCGCCTTGCGAAATTTACCCAAGCTCCGTGGTCCCATCTTTAAATTTAATCGGTTTTTCTGCCTGGCAACACTGTGCAATACCAAATTTCTTTTGAAGTGTTCTAGGTATTTATAACAAATTTACAAGTGCCCAGTAGCTGCACTTATAACCTGTACTTCTACGGTGTTTATAAAAATACTGTGCATTGCAATGACGAATTTTTCGTTACCATTTTGCATTCGTTTTACGCATTGCGTAAGTCGCATCCAGGATGAAGCCGTTGCGTCTCGGAGAATTTACATTCCTTCCCATTTCATTTTTCTCTTCTCTCTCTCTCTCTCTTCCCCCTCCGCGTCCTCTTTCCCCGTTTGCCTTCCTAACCCCTATTCCAACTTATCCCTACTTGTCTGCCTCCCGTTCTTTCTGGTATTTCCGTATGTATCGCCATCTGTCCGAAAATACGCGCACTAGAAACTCACACACCCACGTTGCACGGAATTTAGAGCATCGCCTTCGACTCAATTGGATCGGCTAATCGCATCGTCGGGACTGCGGATCAGGAACGGGACTTTTATAACCTTCACAGCCATTAAATCGTTATTTAGTTTGCATTTTATTTCTTCCTGAAGTCACTCGCACTCCATTGCGTTACGTCACGTCTTGCGTTTTCCTTTTTTCTGACGCATTATACAAACTTGAACTTTCAACGAACTCACAAGCCTACTTGATTTTTGAACTGGTTCGGACAAATAAAAATGGATATAACGTTATTGTCTGAGCCTTGAGAAATTGCATTATCGACAATTTATATTTGGAGGTTATGTTAACGTTAAGTAAATACTCGAAGTAAAATATTAATTGAACGTATTGATGTGACATGATGTTTCTAGGTTATATTAGAATTCTAGTCAGGAATCACTGGTCGTTTTGGAAATTTTGAACGTTCCTCACCATTGTTCTTATTCACTTGTTTTCAGCGATTTTTTGTACATTCGAAACTTTTTGAATGGAGCCCATCTGCCAATTGCTGATCTTGGCTAAGATCCAATAGTGTACTTTGAACTACTTGACCTAACTCAACGTTTAACGAAGCGATGTCTCATTTCCGAGAGAGACGTTGCGTCGCGGCGTTTAAACGTCACGGAGAAAGTCAATAATAATCGAGCGTATGACCATTTATGGTAAACTCATGATCGACCCGCGAGGTCGCAAATCTTAGTCATCACGGTTCACGATCATCCGATTGTTTAGTTATGATATTATATTTTTTTTCCCTTTTATCTTTGAAAATCTGCATGAGTTGTTATTTAAAGCACGTAACAAGATTGCAATAATTTTTAAACGTTTTCACAATATTTTCTCTATTTTAAGTTATACGTCTTATCCGCACTTGACAGTAGATATTACAAATAGCTGTAAAAAAAATTGAATACGATAATTCATCTGATGATCTAATTAGAATCATCGATTTATCCATAGAAAAGATTACATTATCGCGATGATTTGACAAAGTCAACGAGCTCTTGCCTCACCTTATTTATCTTGTTGACACATACATATTTGCTTATGTACACGCGTACATTTGTACCTGTGTCGTGCAGAAAAAAATTTCATGTTACTTTGACACGTTAGACCGGCTTGCTTATCATACATGACTGTACTTACATTACATCCTCTAAAACAGAATATAGTAAAGACACTGTATGTACGTGTCATCCTACTTTACATGTCAAATACAGCGACGTGCTGGTTACGCAATATCGATATATACCTGTAGAATATATACATTAATAGTTGCGGGATATAGAATAGGTATATGGAATATACACACACAATACGTATCTAGTGACAATAAAACTTACTTGCACATCGGCCTCGACTTCCGATTTACGAACAATGACCAGTAATAGACTGTAACGAAGGGCCCACTGGGTGCGGTTACCATGAACTTAATGGAAACTGGAAAGGATTTTGAAAACCGTGGGACAATTAACCGACGGGGTCTGATCGCGTAGGTCTCTACAGTATCAACAATGCGTTTGTCCCGAAGTCGTACTTACTATATAACGTCGAGGAATCGTATATACTACCGCATGTAATCACAATATCATTAGGTACGTGATACTTCGTAGTTAAATTTGTAAATAAGTATTGAGATAACTTGGTAGTATCATTTTTATCATTCAAAAATCATGATCATACGGTAAGACATATCGCGGGCGCGGTATTTCCGGGGTTTCGCGACACAGCACGCCTTTGCGCGCGTAGGAATCAGTCTGGCGAACATGCCGAATTTTAATAAATTCACGATCTATCGGTAAATTGCAGTTTGAATCGATAGAAAAATTTCAAAAGTTTAGGGTATGTTGAAGGCAATGGAACGTAACGATGTCTAAAAGCTTTTATCATTACTTGATAAAACCATAATGAACAGAACGTTTCTGGTGAAAAGGCGCGTTAGGGGCTCTACTTTTCTAAGTTCCAGCGCGCATGCGCAGTCGTATAACTCGGCAGCCATCTTGATGTATACGAGTAGCAACGAAACCAGTCGATCGTGCGCGACAGTTCGCAGCTAGTATATACCGGAAGGCCGACCACCTTGCGTATACGAATTTTTCGTGGCGTGCTGGCACGTTAGTTAATTGCTGGAAGGACGTAAAACTCGGTGAGGACGATCGGTGTGTCAGCGATCGTTCGACGTACTAATAGGACAAGGCGTGGGATAGTGAAATCGCGTGTTAAATATCAGTTAATAGAAGAAAAATGTCGACCCAAGTGCAGGTCACCCTTTTGGATGTGCTCAAGAAGAAGATGCGTCAGACGAAGGAAGAGATGGAGAAATATAAGGATGAATGCGAGGAGTATCATAAGAGATTGCAGGTGGAGGTGATGCGTCGGGAGGAAGTGAGTTTTGTTACTCTATATACGATGAGGATATATACTCTGCTGTAGTGGGTGTACGTGCGCGCTCTAGTCGTAGGGTTTCACGTTCCCTATGAATCTTGGGAATGTCGGGATCCTCCAACATGGCCCCTTAGCGATCTACCTTGCCTGTGGAAGGTTTCTTTTTATTTCTCTCTCTTTTCCTCTTCGTACCTTCAATCCTAACTCCCTTTACCGCTTCGTTTCTCGATCGCCATTTTACACGACCGGCGTTTACTACTCCTCGTTGGTGCCGCGTCGCTCGCCTGCCGACCATCATCGATCGTGCGTGTCAGCCTTTACCTTTTGGAACCCGGCGTCTACTTTTCTCATTGACTATACACACTTATATCGCAGTATATATATGCTGGGAGGGGCATTTCGTGTACCTCACGTTATTAAATTACGTACGGCTGTGTTAATTTCCGATTTTTCTTTATGCTTTTATTTTCGTGGGCTCCGAACTTTTCAAGGTTGAGCGTTGCAGGGGCGGCTTCTGCGTGTGGCAATTTATTCCAAATCTTGAGACACGGGAAGCATGAGTTATTAACATTGTTGACGGCTGACGTCATCCAATGACAACTATTTTCTTGACATTTCTTTCGCATTGTACTGGACGGTACTTGAATATTTTTTTTGGATTGATTATTACCCGATGACGTGGGATTGGAGTTAGCGCGAATCGACTTTGTATTCGTTTTACTCGCTAGTAATTTTAGTTGGCTAGGGGATTTTATGGGGTTTCTTTAGGGACGGGTTAATTACGAGTACATAGTGCTAGGGCGCGGCTCTGTTTTTATTTTCATATTTCATGCCAACAGACTGACCGCACTGAAAAGTTATCGAGATTTGTTTGAATTTCGACAAACTACGAGGACGTTCATTTTCGTAACGTTACGTATCTACAAGGTGTACAGAAATTATCCGATCAAGATTATCCGTTAGGTACCTAATCTCCCGAACTCAAGACTTTACTGATAACAAAATGTCCCTAGTGTTTTTCGTCCAACGTTATTTTTAATACCCAGGACAATGACAGACCATTCGCGGAATCGATGAACACAGCGGCAAAGGAATTTTTCTCGAGCATCAAGTTTAACCGTTACGGCCGTTCGTAACGGTAAAACTGAAAGTGCATAGAAAAATTAACAACTTTTGAACCCAATAATTCATTTTTCTTCCCTCGCTCCTGGCATGGTTCCTTTCAAAGATCCTTGACCTCTATCGTTACACAATGGAAAGGACTTATCGTTCGACTGAGGTATTTTGAAAATGAAAAAAAAAAATCCCTACGCTCAGTTCAACCGGATTTCAATTGTACCTACAGACCAATGGCAATAACGTACCACTTCCCTTTTTCTTTCTACTCGTTATCTTTAATTCCCCATTATTCTGTATACCCACCACTACCATAAGGGACCAGAAGAAGTAAAATATTTTTCTATGAAAAGTTCCTCAATGCTTATCCCGATTAATCCTGTCGTTACATTCGTAACGATGAGTACCCAAGGCGTCTCTCGTCGCCCACTTTGTACATGAGCACTCGGCATAATATCTCAAGCTGACTAAACTCGAGACTTTATTATAGTACATACCAAGTATCTACACATGTGGTAGATCCATGTATATATATACACCCGGATGACGTTAGACCCTGCGGAAGTCTCGGCGTTCGTCTTAAATCTGATATCGGACAAGGTCTGCGAAGTCTGCATGTTATCTGAAGGTGAACTTAGCCAGCGTCTAATGATTGAACGATGATCTTGTATTCATACAGGGTACCGTTCAGTATTCTCCAAGCTTTATAGATCCTTTTTTTTCACTCTACCCTCCTCACTCTATCTTCATGGGCATTGAGATTTATTAGGAATAACACGTGCATTCAACAGGAAACTCGCGTCTCTTATCCCGGGGCAATTGTTATCGTTTGCAGCGACAAAGCCAGCCACTTAACCTCAAAACCTCAGACACTGTTAAATCCTTTTACTTCGCCATTAAACCTTAGCTCGTCTCATGTACTACGATACACAGTTATAATACGATTGTTACAATTCCGTAATTGTGTTCTTTTTTTTTTCTTTCTCAACACTCCGTATTGTCCCTGACATCTCATTGCGCATAGGAATCCTCGCCATGCATACGCAATTGGATTACAAGGGAATATTTGAAAATTTTATAACTCCAACGAAAATGGCCGCTCGCGTCTCTGACTTTTCAACGGTAATAAAAACAAGGGGGTGAAACGTCAAGGATGAAAAAAAAAAGTTAGCGTGACCATCCTTCGTGATTGCAGGTGCAGCTAACGCATCCGCGCGGGAAGTTTGATTAAATACAGGAGTAAATTGACCCTAATCGCGACGGGCATGCATACGTTACGGACCAGTTGTGCGGTATTATTTCCGATGAAAATGGTACACAGGGTGCAGCATTCGGTCCCTTGTACACGATCGTCAATGTGGAACGCACGTAACCTTATTACAGCATATATTGTCAACAATTGAAATCGTAACGTAGGGAAATCTATTGAGTAGTAAACATAACGAAAACAAAAAGTCTATCAGCCTGACTCGCTAGTGACACGTGGTGAATTGGTCGGATTGGTATACGATGAATTTTACTTTTATTTAAAAAGTCCCCACGTGTGCGCCATACGTTTTACTACAAATACACTTGCGTTCGCACGGGTATTTAACTACGGTATCCCGGATATCCGGAACCTCCTCATTTTGAACGCGGCAGTGCAAGAATTATTTTATTTTGATTATTACGGTTTATGGTTTACTTTTTTTTTTTTTTTATTATTATTATTCGGCAGGGGGGTTCGATTAATTTAACTCCAAGTCGCTTGCAATCTGCAATACGCGTATTTGTATACGCTTACGTGACTACGCGAAAAGATTAAGCAAGCGGATTAATCGATTGCGGATAAATATTCGGTTTCACGATCTGCTCGTTATTAATTGATCGATTCATTGATCGTGAACTTTTTATTCTTGGGTTTCAGGCCGAGTCTGAGGTTGCTGCCCTCAATCGTCGTATCCAATTGTTGGAGGAGGATCTTGAGAGATCCGAGGAACGTCTCGCCACCGCCACTGCCAAATTGGCCGAGGCTTCCCAGGCCGCCGATGAGAGCGAACGGTATGTGCCATATTTGTACATATATGTATACGTATGATTACGTGGATGAATACGTGACACGATGTGACTGACATACAGTGGATAGATTCACTAGTTTCTGTATTTGATGAAATTAGGTTTTTTTTTTTTGGGAAATTTTTAAGGTTAGAAGCCATTGCTTGTACTTAATGAAAAGAAATGTATATTTTTTTCATGAAATTTATGATTCATATCTTTCGATCAGTCGATTGTTAACTTTTTTTTTCTGTGCGTCATTATTTTCATTGTCGTATTTCATTATCTTTCGTGCTGACGTCGTAATACCGATATCGATAGCTGTCAGATTTGATCGTAGGTAATTCGTTTTAGATATTTGTACTTGTTATTCGGCTTCTTTGGTTTAGATATTTGTACTTTGGAAAAACTCTGTTTTCTATGGATTTTTTGTTTGTTAACGATATTTTGAATTTTGTTGACGTTTTGAGAATTTTGGAAATTACGTCACTGTCAGTGTCACGTATTTACGTTGCTCGTAAATTGCATCGAGATATTTTCCATCGAAGTCAGTCAAAATAATTTTGGATTTTCTTTGGAATATGCGTACGGGCGGTAATGCTAGCTGAAACTGTTATTTGGATTATAGTGTATTTCGGGTAAATCTTGATCGGAGCATAAATAACGCATTGCGTAATGAAGCAAAATATCAATATTCATCTTGTCGCACGTCATGAGGTTAAAAATCGAAAAAGAAATGTAAAGTTTCTATTTGCTTGAAACAAAATAAGTTTTGTACAATTGAAATGACATTTCAACGTAAATGCGTGTTTATAAAGTTTTTTTTAATTTTATAGATTAAAAAAATTTCCCATATCCAAAACGCTCAAACTCGATTTTCTACCTTTAAATCAACGCAAGGAGACACTTCGTCATAATCGCCATATCGATCGAGAAACGATCGACTAATCTTATCAATGAGTGGTATTTTAATTTTGGAAAATATCTCGATCCTTACGAATCGCTTAAAACCGATTACTGCGAGGAAAATTTTTGCGGATGAAAATGACGAAAATCTCATGTTTTTGTTTTTTTTGCACAGGGACATCTGTGCATATTTATTTTATTCAAAGTTCGCGTTATTGGTTTTCGTCATTTTTTCTTTCCCTAACTATTTTTCCCACTGTGTCAATTCAAACTGTTATAAGTTAGGATACACAATGCATTTTTTTTTATAAATCGAGAAAATGGTTCTTGCATACCGGGCAGATGAATGAATTTTGTCTACTCATACAGGCTTATTTTATTACGCGTGTCTTTGCACTGATGCTGTCATTTTTTTTTTTAGTATGAATTCGTTGTGATTTTGTCTGATTACTTTTTTGCTATCTAACGTCATAATTTGTTCTGTTATCGAATCTTTCGTATACAAGGACCATTTCCTTCGTGTCGTTATCACGATGAACAAACTGATGATTTCACGGGGAATAGACATTTGACGATTTTGCATTAAACATCACCCGTGTCCACGTGCACACGGAGTTTTTGCCATTGGGCGCACTAAAAATTGATTGTGTCAAATCTGACTTGGTCGCGAATACATTGCGAAATTTGAGAAGCTGCACTTTGCCGTAAATTTGATAACAAAAAAAAGTTACTTGAAACTTTTTCGCTGTAATTTGTTGTGTAACGAGAAAGTCATTTTTCACATGAAATTGAAAGATATCTGAAAGTTATTTGAAATTAATACCGACATCCGTTTGTTCCTCGACTGTACGTATAAGTTTTAACACGTGCGATGTGAAAATAGGGAAAAATAAATTGTAAGATTTTCAAAAAAAATTTCGCGCACGAGAACGCGTTTCGTCTTTAATGGTGTCCGTCGAATTTGGGTTTCGCGACGAGTAGATTCCTGGAACGAATATGAAATTCAAAAATGTAATTCGAATTTGGATAAGTATTTGTATGCGAGGTTTTGCTCGTGGCCAGGATGTCGTTTATTTATTCATTTATTTCATGGCGTCTATTGCAACTGCATATCCGGTGCATTCCTTTTTCAATGTCACCCTAATCATCCCCGTGGTAATTTTTTTTTGTACCTGAGCCTTAACGATATAAAAATTGTACGTTTGACGCGGATCGAGGTCTCTGCCTCAATGACCGAGTGAAACTTAGCCTAATCGAGTTTACGTTAGCTGATTTTGCCTTGCGCGCCGAGTCTCGCTGATCTCATCCGTGATGTCATGTCTCGTCGCGGTAAAGAGGAGTAATTGGTCGGGGGCCCCACGAGGTACGGTCCTGGGACCTAACCTTCGCGTGATTCATGGCTTTCGCGGTATTGTCTTTTGATATTGAAATTGTTGGGTTCGCGATTCGGAATTATCAGGGGCCTGTTGATTTAGATCGGGGAACGTTACGAAGGGTCATTTTTTTGAGGTACTAGTTTTTGAAAAAAAAAAATGATTGTCAAATGTTTGTGATATGCTCTGCTCGCGTACGGGTTGAACGCGATGTACGTAAAAAAAAAAAATGTCAAAACCGAAAAAACCTTATCCAACTAATCAATAGGATACGCAAGGCTCTTGAAAACCGAACCAACATGGAGGACGACCGGGTATCCTTACTGGAGGAGCAGCTGGCGCAGGCTAAGCTGATCGCCGAAGAGGCGGACAAGAAGTACGAGGAGGTGGGTCGTCGTTCGATTGTGAACGCACCTTTAACGCGTAACCGAGTTAGATAGTCAAGGGTCGCGATTTTACGACGAAAGGAAAATTTTGGATACATTTGGTTCGATGTCGTTGTTCCGTCGATAAGTACGTGACCCTTGGCTATTAATCGGCCACTTACCGACGTTCTTTACAGGTTTAGGGTTTCTAGCGTTTAACAGGTTGCTGTCTCTGGCCACGGATGGCGCCACGCGTCTCTTCCTCGCGACATCACTGATCACCCCTGCCCAATTTATATCGTATAACCTATACTTCTTTTTCATTTTTTATTAATTTGTATTTTCGTTCGTCATGCAAAAGCGCCCGCAAGGTTCTCGAGAACCGCAGCTTGGCCGATGAGGAGCGCATGGATGCCCTTGAGAATCAGCTGAAGGAGGCCAGATTCCTCGCCGAAGAAGCCGACAAGAAATACGATGAGGTTCGCGAAACCGCACCAATCCAAAGTGGCTGCAGTGATGATGGTTCCTAGTCGATAGAGAAAAGTGCCTAACCTATAACTCGCCTGCGTTCTCGTTGTGACCGACGAACGTGCGTGCGTACGTTCGTACGATTGAATTTCTTTTGTTTTGTTTTTTTTGGTATCTTTTAATCTCACGTATCGTCGTTAAAAATTCGCGAAATTTGGAAGGCGGAGGTGACTCACGCACACTCCTCCAATGACTCCGACTGATCTTGATACGCGTAACACAATCTCGCGTGTCTTTTTTTTCTCATTCCCGTGACTCCATTCGTGATAGTGTTCTGTTTTCATTCGCTTACCGTGCGTCGGTATTGCAGTGTCGATGTGCGTTAACAACGAAAATCTTTGAATAATCAAGAACGATGCGGTGATGGAATTGCTTGGTATGGAAAATACGAGCATTTAAAAAGAAAGTTTAAAGAAAAAGAATGAAGGTATAAAGTGGTGCTATCTGGTGATCGTCGGGATATGTGCGAAGGCATTGCCTCAGACGTCCCAGTCAATCGCCCCACACGGTCTACTCCTGAGTTAAGAACGGTAGAAGGGTGAGCCGAACAGATGAATTCACGTGACACCCGTTTTTGAAAATTTAATTATACATCTTTTTTCTTATATTTTTTTTTTTTTTTTTTTTTTTTTTTCTTAAAGTAAATGACGACGCCTTCCTCATTACGATTAATTTCTACACAGGTTTTAGACTTCCGTGTAAAATCTTGCTTTTATCGTTTATTACTATTAACTCAACGTTTTTTTAAAACTATTTTACTTATCCGAACTGTCCGAACTTACGTGGATCGACTCGCGTGTCCCGGGACGATCTCGCAAACTCCGGACTGTACTGTTTTCACTATTGTTGCTGTTGTGTGCTTCAACGACTAAGTTGTTCTAAGAGAGAGAGAGAGAGAGACAGGTAAAACGAAAATGGAGTTCGAAGGAAAATCGAAAAAATTCGTAATTACAGTGCGAAGACGGTGTTTTGCTGTGAGATGTTTATCGCTGTTATTTCGCTAACCGATTTGCAGCTATTTGACTATTTTATTATTATTATTGTTATTATTGTTATTACCCCTGCGAAATGGGCTGTAAATGCGGCATCTGTGAATTCGTGGCATTTTTACAAACAATTGACTTAGATGCATTTCACGCTCGAGGTCGCTACCGACATCGGTCCGATGACCGACGATCTGCGGGCGAGAAACCGAGGCGAGTAGTTTTCACAGTATAACTTTTTTTTTTCTATATAAAGGTAAAAAAAATATCGGGATCACTCTTTCAGTTGTCGTACGTTTCTCGTACACTGGTTCTAGTCTCGTGCACACTATACTCTTTTGGTTTCATGTTGACCGTAAATATTTGTATTCGCTATTTTTGCACTGACAACATTAAATACACGAGGTACTCAGTACAATCATGGGTACTTCCCTCAAGGTGGGTTTCGTGAGAGGATCTGACGCACCTTTCCGGTCTTTTCGAAAATTCACGTCGACAGATGCGTTCAGTCCCTTCGATTCGCGCAATTTTCCATTGACCCTAAGCTAACCCGACGTAAAATAGTCCTAACCCTAATTTAATTGCTACGTGTGTGACTTTTACCCTGGTATCGAATTTTCATGATTAATTATACAATCTAATCTCTTAGTCTAAACGCAATGTCGTATTGATCAGGTTATATTGGATGCAGCCTGGTGCAGTGCGGATGTCTCTAACAGCAACCGAGTGTGCACATTTAATATCGAATACGAAGTTTTGCCGTGACGTTCGTGACTGGAAGAGAGGATATTTGAGTAGATATAAAAAAAAAAATAATGAAGAAATTCGATACGTGTTTCTTTAATCGTCGTGAAATATACACGAAATCGAATTTTCTTGCATTCGTAATTTCATTCGCGAAACACAATTTTTTTTTTTTTTTTCAAAATTTTTTTGTAGTCTGATCGTCCTTCCAATGTTGTCTCTTCTAGTCACGAGGGACAGGATTGTCCGTACTGGTTCGTGTTAAATAAAAATCTATCTTGTCACGTTAATTCGACAGGTTGCCCGTAAATTGGCCATGGTTGAGGCCGACCTCGAACGTGCCGAAGAGCGTGCCGAATCCGGAGAGTCGTAAGCATCGTTTACATGAATCGAGTTTGCGATTGTGCATTGTGGTTTAAACCCATTGGGTATCTCTTAGGGATATATATATATATTTTTTAACTTCCCCACGTGACCTGTACAATAACACCGTGAATGGCAATTGTTATTTATTTTTTTTCTTATTTTTGCATCCATCTCCTGGAAATCAGTTCGAACACTCGTTGCTAGCAAGATACACGTAGATTTACAAAAGGACCAAAAACGAATAACCAATGGAGGTCGATTCAAAAAAAAAAAAAAAAATTGAAAAATTTTAAGTGTCGTTTCACGTTCATAAGTCATAACAAAAAGTCACAAGCCGAGGACGACCGATGCTGAGATGACGTCGTACAAGGGTCCACCACTTCGTTCACCTTAGATTTGTCATTGTTCGAAAAATTGTCATATTTTTTTTGTTAATTTTTATTGCATGCAAATAACGCCCGCCCCAACCGCCCCCTTCTTGTTTTTGCCTGGCATGACGTGTGGCGTTGGCTGTTGTTGATCGCAGGTCGCCAGGAAGCTAGTCATGATGGAGCAGGACCTCGAGCGTGCCGAGGAAAAGGCTGAACTTTCCGAGGGGTAAGTAAAGGAGGAAAAGGGGGGAACGAGAGAAGTTGTTAAAAAAAAAATATATGGTCCAATACTAAACGTGGGCTTTTGCATGATTTTTCGTATTAAATAACGTGTCTATGTATTTTTGATGTCCGATTTTTTTTTTTTTTTTTTTTTTTTCGAAATATTGGTAACTTCAATGTCGTACCGAGCCAACGATTACTGGCTTTTTTTTTTCCCGTTTTTTTTTTTTTTTTTTTTTTTTCGAAATATTGGTAACTTCAATGTCGTACCGAGCCAACGATTACTGGCCGTTTTTATCGTTGAACAACAAGAAAATAATTCAAGGTGATTTTCAGTCGATCTACGAAAATTTGTAAATTCATTCTTGAGATCGTGATCGTTCTCCCGGTACGATGGTCGTGAACGAATATGTTAGTTATTTTGAAAATTGTACACCTTGTATAAAATCTTCATCTCTTTCACTTTCCAGTAAGATCGTCGAGCTTGAGGAGGAACTGCGCGTCGTTGGTAACAACCTGAAGTCCCTCGAGGTGTCCGAGGAGAAGGTAAAGCGAAGAGCTTTGATTTATTGATTTTTTTTTTTTTTTTTTTTTTTTTTCCTTATAATTAAGTAAAATACTTAATTGATAATTATAAAGTCTATAGTTCGGTATAAGATAAACAAAGAAAATGCTATAGAAAAAAAATGAAAAAAAAAGTAGCTCTCTGGATTTACTACGTAATTCCTCGTTAATTAGCGTGAACGATACGTCATCTTTGCATAATTTTAATTAGGCCAACCAGCGCGAGGAGGAGTACAAGAATCAAATTAAGACTCTGACCACCCGTCTAAAGGAGGTACACACACGTTGAGCGTAGTGGCCTTAGTGTGTCTCGATTTTCAAAGCCGTTTACCTAACCTCACTAAAAACGACAGTGGTTGCATCACATAGAGTTGACGATTGACACAGCGAAGGATTTTTTCCTTCGATAAGTCAAGAATTATTTAATGCGAGCAGCTTTCGCACTGAATTTCATTGAACGTCTTGAATCCGTATTGACGTCCTAGCTATAGTAGCATGACGCATATTTTTTTTTTACTGAGTGGACTAACGATTGTTTTTTTGTTGTTTGTTGTGCTTGTCACTAAAACAAAAATGAAAAAAAAAAAAAAAATAGGCGACGCAGAGAGAGGAAACGTTTGAGGGCCAGGTCAAGACTCTCGACAGCCAGTTGAAAGAGGTGAGATGAAAAAATTATTTTTTTCAGGGATACATGGAGATAATTTAAATCAAATTATGTTCTTTTTCACTACGGTATATGGGTACTTGTCGTTGAAGAATTTATTTTTTTTTTTTTTCCATATCGAGACTCTTTTGCTAATTTCATATACGCGTAGCTTGCGCAATCATTGGGCGTCGTGCGATTTCGCACAGTTATCGAATGTCATTTCGTAATCAGGTGCGACGACTGGCGAACTGGTACGAATCATTCGTTTTTTATTCTCAATATTCTTGCTCGCCGTTAACAGATAATAGGATTGATTCGATGCTTGCAATTTTTTCGAATTAACACGTTGTGCTGTTGACGCCTGTTATTCTCTAATCCTTGTGTTCGCGTGTTCTCGTGTGTGCTTGGAGTGGATTTTTTTTTAAAGAGAAAAGTTCGACTTAGACAATTGCAGCAGTAGGTCTTGTCGATTTCACTGCTTACTGGTAACTTTTTGTCTTGATTTCGTTGCTACGAACTGGCGGATCAAGAGAATTTTGATTTTTTCAAGTCGAACCGTTTAAGTCGAACTTTTTTCAAGAATTGGCAAAAAAACTCGAACGACTATTAATACATTTTTTTAAATTCCACTATCCATTAGGCTGAGGCCCGCGCTGAGTTCGCCGAGAGATCCGTGCAGAAATTGCAGAAGGAGGTCGACAGGCTCGAGGGTACGTATTTTATTATACATGTATAGAATTAACCGAGAACAGAAACTGAACGTCGTCTTTGAGTCAAAAAGTTACTCGACGAACGATGCAATTTTGAAAATTATCGTTTCAACATATTTTTCTTACCTTTGGTCAGTTTTGTTTTTTAAATCGTTTGATAAAAAAAGAATTTATCACTTTCCCGCAGTCTGTTCTCCGTGAACGATATATATTTTATTGGAACTCATCTCGCGTCTGATTAGCACCTTGCGCGTGATTTAAATAGCTATTGTAAAAGTCACAAGAGCGCAGATCTTTACAGATCAGTTGAAAGAATTTTAAACACGAATCTGCATCGTGCCTTATACTCAGTCTGACTTTTAATCGTCATATGTCTAACCGAAGTGATATTTAAATGTATCCCGTTGTAAGCTCCCGTACGACAGTCGCTAGACCTGCTCCCCCCTCCGCCCCCCCTTCTTTAACTAGCATTGGCCCGCCGTATAATTTTTATCCTCGCGCAAATATATTGGCCGTCTTATGCGTTTGCGGCTGCGTGTTTGCCTGCCTGTGTGGAGTGCCTTTAACAAGTGATCTTTACAGACGACCTCGTCGCCGAGAGAGAGAAAAACAAATTGCTCCAGGAGGAGATGGAGGCAACCCTGCATGACATCCAGAACATGTAGATCGTGTTGCGGTGGCGAGCAAAAAAGCATAAAATAGACAAAAAAAGCCAACCCCTTGGTTATCTTGGCGCGCGCTTCTATCGGTGCACACCTAACATAATCTGCAAACAAAAGATATAGAGTCCTTAGGCCACCCTGAGACCTCTGAGTTCCCTCCTCACCACGTACACTTTACATTTTCACGTATATACTCATCTATACCTTTCATGGAAATTATCCTTAGACCCCGTCGAGCCAATCACACACATCTACACGCATGAGCATTCAAAGTGTAGACACGTGACCCTTTTCGAGCTTTCGTGTGTGTATGTGAGAATTTATGTGGTGAGAAAGAGTGAATGAATGAGTGGGGCAGGGAAGGGGGAGAGAGAGAGAGGAAAAATTGGAAAAAATGCAAGAATGGATGAGATCGAAAGATAACGCGTGAACGTAAAATGGGTCCAGCTAGGTCGAGAATGCTCACATTTCGTCCACATTCCGCATTCCTAATTGATTGACAGTTCGAACGCGATGCCATTAGGGCGCTTTGCGATGTTCTTGGTGTCTGACTTAAAATTTATTGACCGTATTCGGTTGGAGAATGAATTTAGTTCGGATGGATGGCTCAGTGTACCGACTTTTTATTTTCAATTTGAAATTTCATTTATTTACCCTACTTACCGACGGATACGTGCGTCCTTTTCAGCCGGTATGGCAGAATTGGATACGGTACTAATACCGTTGAGTTACTTACGGTCGGTAACATGTGTATCGAAGGAAAAGGAACGTTGGGCCATCTTGATAAGCTGTGCGTGACCATTACTGCCGACGATTTTTTTTATGGGGTTATGTTCCGCCCCGTAAAGTCTTTTTTTTCCATGGCCTACCACTGCGTTCCTAGCTGCTCTCGTTCGAATAGGTGCAATCGATCTCTTCCTCCATGTGACTCCAAATCGTGCCTGTACATATTTACTCTTTAACGTGTTTCTCTTGGCCAATCGAATATTGCGATTACGCGGAGACGTGCTCAATGCCGTAATTATCTTACGTGTCTCTAATGGCGCTTTTGATAAGCGCGAATTACTGTAGGACTGTAACCTGACGGTCGGACCTTGAAAGATTTCGATGATCATGAATTTTGAAACTAGTTTTCTCTTGTTTTTTTTTTTCTAATTCTTTTCCGTTATTTTTAACGTTTCGGCCATTTTTGCATCGTCGACTCGTCACTGCCATCTGTCGGTGTCAAACTGCGATCATGGCAGGCGGGAACTTCGTTTACCGAACTCTTAGCATTTAATCACGTTATATAGTTTCTTCAAATTTGAGTTCGACGTTGACAGGTGCTGGAACGGGGCAAGATTCAAAATTATGTATGTCATTGAATCCTGTCCCGTTTCCCACGACACGACCAAAATGGCGAGACACACGAGTACTGAAACTGCGACTCGACATGAGCACGTTTCTCTTGTTCAGAATACTTTTGTTTATTTTTATTTTATTTTTTTGTCTTTCTCCCGTCACCGGCGTCACGAGCATAAAAGAGTATATACACGAGTGAGAAGAAAGAAAGACAGCAACAGATGCACAATTATAATACATCCCTACATCCTACTATTAATTTTTATTATCCTCTTACTTTACTTGAAACAAATGAAAATGCTGAAAAAAGATACTTGAGTTATATTAGTCGTATTAATTTACCTAATATTAATTAAATTGAAAAATGATGATGATGATAACACTAATATTATTGTAATAATTATTATATTGCTATTATTATAAATCTGTTTATAATATATATTTTAATTTTGAAAATGAGAGTGTTGTTCGTTTTACGTTTTTTTTTCCGTATGTGTTTTTTTCGTTAGTGTAACTGTTTCCTTTGTTTTTTTTTTCCTTTTTTTTTCTCTCTAATACACGTACCGCACTAATAATGCGTCCGCGTCGAACTAATGGAACACGACTGAAAACTGTGTAACCGCATGAAACAATTGCGTCGCGGCGAAAACTGGTGTGAACCCACTATGCCATGCCGAGTAAGTATAACGTTCGCTTGATATGTCTTTTTTTTTTGGAATTAACCCTAAAACCAAAATCTTTATCATTAAAGAAACAAGGGTTTTGCCTTACGTCTTTTACTTCATTCTTTCGTGGGTCAACGTCTCTAATGAGGAGTTTCCCCATTTAGTTATGGTGCCGTTGTTTGTCCGCCAGATGGCGCTTGATACGCTTACTCGAACATGACCTTAATAATGCTTGCAGATGAGATGGTGGCGGAAAAGGAAAAATACAAGGAAATTGGCGATGGCTTGGATTTGGCGTTCGTCGAACTCTACGGAGTCTAATACGCCTCTGCTCGCACTACTGCTACTACTACTACCACTACTACCTAATGCTTCGAAAATAATTTATATATAAAAAGACCGTTTTACCTTTTCTTTTGTTTTATACTCGATTAATTACTCTTTCGCTTCCGGTGAAACTGCATACCCGTAAGTTCGAGGCTTTTTGCTTATTAACACAAATTTAATCAATTGCAATGCCTATAGACACCTCTTGCTAATGTTCCCAGTACTATTTGAACCACTCTTAAACTTGCTTATCGATTATCGATCAATAGAGCATAAATTATTATGGAATCTACTTTATCGACTGTGTCTAGAGGTCGACAGAGAATCGAATAAAAATGTCACTGTTAACGGTTTTTTTTTTTTTTAATTGATCGACAATCTGATAATCAATAGGCCATTTCCTTACATTTATTACTTTTTGGATTATCAAGGGATAGCAATAAATATAACTATTGAGGTGTGATAATTGAGAAAAATTGTATTTATCCATGGACATTGAATTGCAGACGAGCTCGTCCACGAGAAGGAGAAGTACAAATACATCTGCGACGACTTGGACCTCACCTTTACCGAATTGGTTGGTTAAACTATTTGATCATTCGAGCGTCGTCTCACCGCAAAAAGAAGATCCACTCGAAACACAGAAAGAGAACAAACGAGGATGCTGCGCCATGCGGCGAATTAACGAACACAATGCGGTGAATCGGCGACAAGAGGAGAAACAAATGAAAAGTTTAAACGGGGAGCACGTACGCGCATGCGCGCTCCACTTAAATACACACAAAACGTACACAGCACATACTTGTTCTTCTACGATACACCAATTTACAATCACCTGTATTAATTGTAATTAAAATTAATATATTGTAAACACGACGATTTTCATTCTACGTGTCACTGGATTACACGTTCATTCCATGATCTTTGTAATTTCCTACAATGAACTGATCCAGCCCGATAAGAGACAAAAAGAAAGCCAACCTGTACATATTCTCTGTATAACCTAAACTTGAATCTCATGAATCCAACTAACAAAACTAACCGACCCTGGACCCGTTCCCAACTAATCAGAACCCCCGTTGGTTTTTCTTTATCGTTACAGACGAGCTATTGAAGGAGCGCAGTAAGTACAAAGCGATCGCCGATGAAATGGATCAGACGTTTGCCGATCTTGCCGGATATTAGCGCCCGAACTCACGCCGGAAGTTCGTCTCATCCAGGATACCCGGAAATTGACACTGCCAAACGACGGATCTTTAAACTTGCCGTTAACAACGGAAGAAACTCTGTCGTTATGTCGTCATTATTCCCACCACCGCCACCATCACCGACATCACTCTACCATTCCTGAAACCACCAACACCAAATACTACTAGAACTTCTATCGCTGCTATTATTACTATTGTTATAACTAATATTACTAATTATACTATCATAAGTTTTATAGATTTTGCCACTTAACGACAATGCTCATCGCGGAATAATGAGACGGTGCAGAATTACTTCAGACAGTTTAGCACACGAAGACTCAGCTGCATGTTTTGATCAGGTCTTATTGTATCACGCGATCGATACTTGTACATAGAAATCCTTAGACATTGATATGAGCGATTGCGGTTCGAATGAGAATTTATCCAATTTTGTGCAATTTTTCAGTTTAAGTAATGGGTAAAGTTACGGACGTTTAAATATACTGGAATAATGTTTCTGGGGTATTACCGGTACCGTATTCTTGGTTCGGAACTGTTCCATCGAAAGACACTTTCACCTTTGCAGCAATACTGCGAAGTTAAAGTTGAATTGTTCTCATTCGAATATAAGAAAAAAGAAAATCCTGAAAAATCTCTAACACAACCTCTTATAGCAATGATTTTTTATGAGGTAGTTTCCCTTTTTCTTACGGTACAGTATCCTTCTGTTTTTCTACTACTGTCAAATTTTTTTTATTTTATTCTTACCTTATATCTATATTGGTTTCGCTTGTCGACTGGTACCGTCTCGATGCAAAAATTGTGACTTGCTCGTGAAACCTTTGCTACACTTTATCAGATACTTATTTAAATAGAGAAACAACTGTGCTTCGTGACAAAGGGGTATACGTGGTTTAGCAGTAAAAGAAAGTGCGAGATAATTGATTCGAATATCTAGAATCAATGATGACCGATAAATGCGGTCGTTGATAGCATTATTTAAAAGTACGTTTGACAAGTACGTATTCGTTTACGTATATTTGTTTACGCGTATACTGACACGAAATTTACGTACGATATGGCAAAATTTGCGAAAGAGTAAAGCGTACGTAAATAACGAAAGTGGGACGGTGGCGGTAACGCTTTTTTGTGCTTAGAGTTTAAGCTTAGCCAAATAATATTAGCTTTGTTACGAGACGTACCAGAGCGAGAGAGACACTTTGGATCCAAAATACGAGAATAGACCAAGGCTCGTTGGTATTTTTAAATTTCCGATATACATGCAAATGAATATTTCTAAAAAGAAAAGTCATCGATCTACGACGAAGCCTATTTTTCATTTGACGCACTTGCACGCTTAACGGTGACGTTAAATGTGAGCAATTTCGTTTGTTGCCATTCTTGTTCACGAAACGCGTACGACGAGAATTGCGTTTTTGCAATAAAAAGACAAACATTGGACAAATCCACATTGGAAAAGAAATCCCACCGACCAGCCTTGATCCGTATGAGACTAGACCTTATCTAGAGCTAAGGGATCGATCCAGGTCATGTGAACACGAGTTGCTTTGAAAGGCAAATGAAAAAAATATATACTTTTTCCATTGACAATGAGGAGTACAATGAAAATTAATCAGCAAATTTTATCCAGACTCCGTTTCGGCATGACTTCAAGGAGCGTCATATCTTATGATTCGCCTTCTTGGATTGGTGCGGTCGACGTTCTACTGCTCGTATAAATAAACGCTGGAATGTAACGTCCTTGCGACCTATTCCTGGGAGCTGGGGATTTTGTCTGTTGAAGAACAGGTCGATGATGTCACGAGAAGAGTCGATTATTTTTGACTCTATGCCTAAAGTAGTTACAACCACCTATTCGTATATGCTAATCTTATTTTACTGTTGCATTCTGTAATACCGTATGCGGGAGTCATTTAATAGAAGTTGTCAGGATTTGAACGATAGTTGCAAAGTGCGCCGAGAGATGGCGTTGCGTAGGAGGAATCACGTAACAGGCTGTTTTATACAGTATGGGATTTCACGAAACTATACAATAATTTGTGATTCTTAAGCTCCGTCAACTTCTGACGTTATTTGGATCAGGGACTAAGAAACAAACTAATTATCAAGTTTCTGTTAACGTTGAAAATATTTTTAATAATAATTATTTGAATTCTAACCTTTTTTTGAAACTGTTAAAGGTTTTATCATGCACGCTCTTGTATTAATTCGTACGTTCGTTCAGAGATGGAGACAGTTGAGACGAAAATATTTTTTTGGAGACAACCGATGATCTCATTTGTGCCTGATTATTCTTGGATCTCGTCCAAAAGAGACTTACGGAATTGCATTGATGCCAAGTCGAATATTATCACTTTTTATCATGTCAAAATAAATATCTTCACGGAGTCGATGATCTGCTCAGTGTACATACAACAGAGTAAAATCTTAGTCATCTGACATGTTTTATATTAGCTATTATATTTTCGTACTACTAAAATCAGTTTTTAGTTAGTTCCTTCTTCTAGATTCTTATAACAAGATGACGTATCAGTTAATCTACTGATGCGCTTTACCAAAACAGATATATCCTTCAGATCTGACAGTCAAAATGAACCCAATGATGATTCTCGCATGGAACTCAGGTACAGGCAAAACTTATATCTTCAGAAATTATAACGTATGTTATTTTCTTGGTAATTCCATGAATTTCACAGTTTTTTTTACAAGAAAATTTAATTCAGATTCTATTATATGCATACTAATTATATTAATGGATTCTTATGGATTCATTTGGTATTCACCTGTCTAGATTTGAGAGTACCTCTTTTGGACATGGTAAGGTTAAGCTCAGGCCTAAACGGCTTACGCAAGCTCATTATTTTTGGCTGCTGTCCAATAAGAATGGCGTTGTCCTCTCCTGTTGTATCGTTGCTCGATGTAAATATTTCTGTGGGGATTTTCACGTCTCGTGTGCAACGTATCGCGAATGCCATGTCTCACTGTAACAGAACCAGCTAATTTTTACGTTATAGTCACGATATTTGTATTTTTTATCGTCGAACGTGACGCTGCTATACGTAAGTAAAAAAAAATGATCGGCATAGTTTCATGGATCAAAATAAGCTATGAATTTTAGAATGAAGAAATTTTAACTACGCGACTTTGGAAAAAAAATTTATTCGTGCAGGTTTGAAGAAGATGGGACTAATTTGGCTTTCTGAAATCTTTACATCTTCAAGTATAGTTCGGTAACTTAGGCTCTAAGAATTACATTTTCAAAAATGCGAAAATTCTTTATTTATATAGCACAGTATCTACAAACTTCAATGAATCAGAAAAGGGGGTGCTGTATTTTGGAATCGTGCGCCATCTTTCTTTTCTACACTAGAGTCACGACACAAGAAATTCATGCTGAATTCAGTTCTACGTCTATTTCTATAATATCGATGGTACAACAATGAAGTAAATTATAATCTGTTTCTCGTCACACATTACAGATGGTGCTCTCGTCACATTCCCATCGTTCTTAGTCAGAAACGGCACGCGTGTGACGCATCGGTAGCAAAATAAATAACATTTTTTTTTACAAATGAAACGGTACCGTATTCGAAAAAAAAAATCCTAGGAAACTCTGGGATTTCATAATATTGTTGTTTTTTTTTAATCCAAGATTTTTCATTAATCGAACAAGCAGCGTCAATTTATTATAAAGATCTAACCTTAATACAAAACGGCGGTAGTTTAAAAATGGAATCTCATATGTTTTACGTAAATGGAATTTCTATGAATAGAATGAAAATCCTGTAATTGAGCTTCTTGTATTGTGACATAGTTTTTTTTAAGTTTAGAGTGATTTTTCGTAATGGATTCAAAGCAATCCAAAGAGGAACAAGTAAGTAAGTTAAACTGATACTCGACACTTTTTCTGACAAATATAACGATCTGATTGGCCAAACATTCGCCTCCTCGTATTTTTTTTCATTTTGACTCGGATGATTCTGCTCCCTGATTATTTTAGCAGTTCGCTTCCGTTGCGTTCCCAAATTCTTCAATAAACTCCACGTCTTCTAGAATCCAAAATTGAGAACGCGTGGAAAGATGTTTTAGCTAGTATTACTTTTTTTTTTATTTCTTATTTCACAAGTTCAAGGACAAAAAGTTAATTTCAAAATTTTGAACTAGGTCCTGCGTCATACAAGTGTATCTTTCAGGGATATTTTAATAGATCTTGAGCAGAGTGAGACCAATAGTTAATCCTACGAAATAATTTTCGTTTTCGTTTATTATAACAAGGCAAATTGTAAATCTACTATTTTTCAGGTTACATTTTGGAATTTCGATTTACCAACGCATTCACCGTTTCTCAATACCAACATGAGTGAATGCAGTGTGACGTTAATATAAAGGATATACAAAATTGTAGATTATAATATTTATACGAGTAACGAGTAGATGCGAGTGCGTAAAAATGAATTTGTTCAAAAAAAAAAAAAAGAAACAAAAAAAATAACAAAGAGACGCAGGAGAGTTCGCTAAAAATGCCACACCACAATTTCGCACCGTAAACTGAAAAACGAGAACCGTCAAAAGGGACAAGAAAAGGAAGCAGCCCCAATACACTGTAACAGCGCCTAACGACGTCGGCGTCGTAGTGTCGGTGAGGAGCCGTGGTCTTATGCTCGCCATTTTTGGGTTCCCCACCCGCGACTTTTGGAAACCCAACGTCGACGGGCGTCGCGACGGCACTCGACTCGCGTCGCTCTGCTCGCTCGGGTAAGTAAGTGCTCACGAGGCGCGTGTAATATATAATTTTTCCAAATAAATTACTCGCTCTCTATAACATTACGATTTAAAAAAAAAACCGTGCTTTGAAAAACGTCAAAACCGGAAATATGCATCCCGACGAGAATGCAAAATTTCAAAACAAACAAAATCTCACCAAAAATCAACCCGAATCGAATGAAAGTAGAAAAAATTCCCCAAAACAATTTTCCCAAAAAATTTTCATACGTTACCTGCGTACTGAAATTTTCAAAAAAATTGTTCAGCCTCTTCTAACATCCTGTGTTTCGCGCGTGTGTGTAGTTACGTAAAAACAAAAAAAAAAATTTCATCTACAGTCACAACGATCATGGAACATCGTGTAACACCGTGTAAAGGAATACTTGACGATTCTTTCATTTTTCTCTTTTATTTTTTTTTTTTGAAATATCAAAGCTTCTAAGGTCATTATTCCAGGAGATGATGATCGCACCAAGCTTTCCCGGCCGATACAAGTACCGTCCGCAGGATCATCATCCTCCTCCAGGACTCTATCTACTATGCACTGACGCTATATTAACAACGCTTCGCTTGCGCTTCCGCAGGAACTTGCTTTCGGCTTGTTACGATACGTAATGTCGTAAGTAGCGTTAACAATTAGATATTAATTATTAACAGAGTGTTCAGTGAGTCAGAGAGCTTATTTCCATGTAACTGCAGTGAACTGCAATGTGTTTCTGTGTTCTTTGGCAAACTTGTGTATGATTTTTTAGAATGACGTAGGTATTGGATATATAAGTAAAGTTTATAAGCTTCTTACTGTTACGTAATGTTGTGATTACAAATTATCACTGGTGAATCTTCCATTAACGAAGCACCTAATTACCTACCGATCTGACCATACCTTTATCTTACTATTTTCCTACTAAAAATATTGATAGTAGTTCGATTATTGGTAACTAACAAGAATTTTCTGATAAGTGCATTGATTTGTAAATACAGTGAAAATTAATATTATTAATTCGGCGCTGTCATTATTTTGATTAATACAGTTTGATCGTTAAATGGCGCGCTTTTTAAAGCGAGTAGAAATTTTTGAATTTAATAAAATAATAAAAATAAATATTTATTACGCCGAGTAATCATGGAGTAGTCAAAATTTGAATCGACGAGTGAATACGAAATTTTTCAAAAATGACAATGCCTCATATTAAATTGCTTAATTAATCAATGGCCTAATTATATTGCGCGCTATGACAGACACACATTGGCATATGTAAAATAGGAGTCAGGTTATTCGATAGGTCGAGAGTCTGTAGCCGTTGAAAAGTTTAGATGAAATGATGACGTGCTGTGAGATCTAAAAATCGAAGAAAAAAAATGGCGGCCGAATTTCTCACGCGTCAATAGCTCCTTCGTGCCAATCCCGTCGCTTCAAATTCGGAAAAGCGAATTCGACTCGGTTCTCCCCAGTCGAATCCGAAGAAGGGTGTCGGTTAATGAAACAGTGTGTAACGGAGGCTGAGGCGTTTCGCAAAGTTTCGTAAAGATCTATAAATAAAAGCCCGTGGGCAGTTAGATCGGGTGTCGGTCCGCCATTGGCGGACCAAGTAAAGCTCTTCATCCTTCTGGCTCATCGAGAGAGAAAGTGACGCCGATAGGGAGAAACAGGAATGATACAGGGCAGAAAGAGAAAAAAGGAAACAGCCAAGCAACTGTTTCCCGATATAAAGAACGTCAGGGCACGAACTATGAAATAATAGAGAGATAAGCCAGCAATTCCCTGTTTTCAGACGGTCCATAACGCCCGCCGTGACAATTCCTGCTTATTTTCTTCGTACTGCCCTTAGATAACGTTTCTTGTAATTAATTTTCATAGCCAATTCCAATAATGGCAATTCCATTCTACCCTCATGACAATTCCCAGTGATTTTTATACATGCAATTCCAATTAAGCGCTTACCGAGATGGGATCGGAATTTCAAAAAAATAGCAATTCCCTAATACCTCAATGTCAACTCTCCGTACTGTTCTAAAGCTCAGTTCACGTCGTACGCAATTCCAATATAGAATCATAATTTTCCACCAATGACGCAGACTCTCGCCGACTGGCAATTCCATCGATTCTTTCCTTTTCTTTTAATACGGCTATCTCCTGATTTCGGTGGACCCTCCTTCGTGGCCATTTAATTTTACTATCTACGTAGAGGTATATACCTACGTGTGTATATATCTACCACGGGATTTCGGCTTCCTGAAGCAGCCACGCCGTCCACGTATTTATAGAATCCTCGCAGCCTGGCTATTTCCGTAGACTTTGCTTCCACGATGGCATTCTCGGGTATAAGCTGTGCCAACGAGTCAGGGCACCCGACGGCACCGACCCAGTATCATCATCGTCACGTTCAGAAATACGAAAGACGCCATATTACCTTCGACGAATTGCCTCACCTGTTTCTTTATCTCGTCCTCGTCTCGTACAAGAAGTTTCTGTACTTTTGACTTTTCGTCTTACGAGAATCGATGATCGACGGTCGAAACAAAAAATGGCAAAGTCATTGGAACAAAAGTAATTATCTCCAATGATCGATTGTTGATCAATTATACCCATTACTATTTTTGATAAATATAGAACAAAATGTGACGTCGCGTTAATTGAACCTGACGCACTAGTTCATTTAACTAATAGTCTTGTCTTGTGATGATCTTACCGAACCTATGTTTTACAGCGAACTCGTTAGTTACGTGAGGAAAGTCGCAAAAACAAAGCCGCCACCATGGACGCGATCAAGAAGAAGATGCAAGCGATGAAGCTTGAGAAGGACAACGCGCAGGACAAAGCCGATACCTGCGAGGGACAGGCCAAAGAGGCTAACCTTCGTGCGGATAAAATCCTCGAGGAGGTCGGCGACCTACAGAAGAAGCTTCAGCAGGTCGAAGCTGATCTCGTGGCCAACAAACAGAACCTGGAGCAGGCCAACAAGGACCTAGAGGAGCGTGAGAAGTCCTTGACCAACGTGAGTTGTTATCTTAAATATTAAAAATACATTTTGAAAAGTCTACCTAATGCCTCTTTGATGTGTACTCATGGTACTTTTATTCTAATATAACTGATCTTGCTTCTGTTCCAGGCCGAGTCCGAGGTGGCTGCTTTGAACAGGAAGGTCCAGCTTATTGAGGAGGATCTTGAGAGATCCGAGGAGCGTCTTAACACCGCTACTGCCAAGCTCGCTGAAGCTTCCCAGGCTGCTGACGAGTCCAGCCGGTAACGAGATAGCTGATTAATTGAATAATTGAACATTTGTAATTTTTCATCAAAAGATTTGAAAAAATAGTTGCGTTCCGAGGTCCATTCAATTTTAAGACTAATTTTCATATCTGGCAAACTTCTTCGTTCCAGTATGTGCAAAGTATTGGAGAACCGTTCCCAGCAGGATGAAGAGAGGATGGATCAGCTGACGAACCAGCTCAAGGAAGCACGTCTGCTTGCTGAAGATGCTGACGGCAAGTCCGATGAAGTTTCCCGCAAGCTGGCCTTCGTTGAAGATGAGCTTGAGGTTGCTGAAGATCGTGTCAAGTCTGGTGAAGCGTAAGTCCTTGGTCCGGATATTTATGTAGATGACAGGATCAAGTCTGGTCATATTTTGTGTCTGTTGAGAAAACATTAAAGTGTAGACCGAATGAAGCAAAGTTTAGGTCAAAAGACCAATTTCAAAATATCTAATAATTTCTTTACCGTGCTTCTGTAGCAAGATCATGGAACTTGAGGAAGAATTGAAGGTCGTCGGAAATAGCTTGAAGTCCTTGGAAGTCTCTGAGGAGAAGGTACCAACTTATTTGGCGTCTGTGAAACATTTTTTTTAATACGTACCTGTGTTCTTTGATTAAATTTTGAATTTGTTTTATTCTTCTCAGGCCAACCAACGAGTCGAGGAATTCAAGCGCCAGCTGAAGACCCTGACTGTCAAGCTAAAGGAAGCTGAGGCTCGTGCTGAATTCGCTGAAAAAACTGTCAAGAAGCTGCAGAAGGAGGTTGACAGGCTCGAGGGTGAGTCCGGCACTTTTTACATAAAAATTCTCGAGGCAATTTCTCTTCGTGACGTTTATATTCCTCGGGAGAACGACAGAGAAAGAAAAAGAGTCAGTCTGCAGGAAATTTTGAGTCACTAAAAAATTTAATGAAACGAAAAATTTTCTTTCTCTTTTTCTTACATTCTTTCTTACTTACTCTTAAAATGCTCTTGTCGCCGCCATTGTTTCCTTTGTTTTACGCTTTTTTTTTACACGTCCCTCTATAGTCGTAGTTTAACATCAGTTTCGAGGGGCCATCTTCTTTTGGCTTTCAATGCAAAAGAGTCCCTTGTATATCGATCTGATCTCGAACAGCGACTGTAGTGCCTGTTGACAATTTTACGAAGGCTTCACGCGCCATTTTTATTTAAACAGCTATTATTATTATTATTGATTTTCGTTTTAAGTTCTTTTATGTTTCGCCACCAAAGCAATATTAAAAGCAAGGAGGGTGGATTTGGTATTTCTTCACTTCTTGCTTTAAATCCGTGCTATTAGTTATTATTTTTATAGTTATTAAGTTATTAAGTTTTGCAATTTTTTTTATCTTGTCACGGATTGCGCTGTTGTAAGTAATGAAGTCAAATAATTGTCCATTAACCTATAACCATTTAAGGTTGTCTCAACTGGACCGGTTTTTTTTGAGATAAATACAGCAAAATTCAATGATTGAAATTGATAAGCAGTATAGAGAGAAAAGATCCCACGTGCACAGGAGAACAACCAAGAACTATTCAGAAAAGAAAGAATAACAGATATCAGTGGTCTCGATTAATCCTACGTTGGCGGAATGGTTTCTCATTGCAGACGACTTGTTCCACCAGAAGGAGAAACACAAAGCTATTTGCGACGACTTGGATTCGACATTTGCTGAGCTTACTGGCTACTAAAAACAAACGAGAAAAAAAATACTTAATATACTATCATACATGCAAATTGCACTCCGACAATACTCATACTCTCGGTTCTACACGTGTTTTTCCTCTTTTGATTTCCGTAAAAATCACATTCTCATTAACAATTTCTTCTCTTGTTAAAAATATCTTTAAATGAAAGGAATTCGAAAGGAGAGATCAATTTCATAACAAAAATTAAATATATTCAATTTATATTGCACTTTACATTTTTTTCGGTCTTCTTCAATTATTTACAATTTGATGATTTTTTGGTTATTATTACTTTTCATTAATTTGATATTTGAAATTCGGTCAATTCTTTGTCAGTGTGTAAAAGACCATTTTTAATCGATATACAATTATATTCAAAATATTCAAATTATTACAAATCATATCCAAATGAACCGAGCTCTGCGTTAATTAACGTACTAATCAAGCCTCTCAGAAGTACACGTAAGCACGCATCTCATACCAACACTGTTTTACGTAACGTAGCTTAAGTAACAAAAATATTTTTTTTTTTTGAAAATACATGCAAACAAACAAAAAAGACAAAAATTAGCTTCGCTACAACGGCCGTCGCAATCCAGGTACTTTTGCTCTCCCTCCCGCCCCATTTTCTTAAGCTTTCTCTTGTATTTGAACACCCAGTAGATACTGTCATAATGTACTGTTCTCGTAACTTTTCAAATTCTTAGTCATAAAATATTTTCACTATCCTAACCTAACACTTCGTTTGCTTGCGCATCGAGCTTTCCACTAATGACAATAACAATTATCATTTCTGTAATCCAATAGATTGTAAGTTTCATGAGTAGCACTTTCGAAATTCCACTTCGATCAATTTTCTTGGTTCGTTTAACAGACATTAACGAATGTACCTGTACTTGATTACATCATACACGATTGTAATGTTATTCCTACGAAAGATTAATCCAAAAAATACATTCGTTGTTCACGTTTCTAGTCGGACGGATAGTCGAAAAAAATGTCACGGTGTCGCTAATAATGTTTTTTGTTTTCGAATTTTTGTAGATGAGCTTGGAATCAACAAGGACAGATACAAGTCCCTGGCCGACGAGATGGACTCCACCTTCGCCGAATTGGCTGGCTATTAAAATCAAATATGGGAGGACCCATTTTGTCTTTTTATTTTCATCTTGATTTTGGATCAGACACAAACACAAGGCCGATCCCCATGAAAACATTTGGAACGCTGGAACATCGATAATATATTTAAGAACAACAATGATAATGACTATCAACCGAAAGAAAGATCCAAAAAAATATGTAGAAACGACAAGTAAACAAATGGTTTTACTTTGTTTTGGTTTTTTTTCCTTTGTGGCTACAGTTTACTCGATCTAATGAATACTGTCACCGTTTCATGCACACATCTATTGATAATAAAATGAATATATTGATATATTACATGAATTAATATTATTGCTACGTATTGTACGAAACTCTACGGTATGAATATATTTAATAAAAATGGCTGTATATGTTTTAAATACTTGACAAATCTTATCGCGCCGAAATATTGTCTTCGTAAGTTTAATGAATATTAGCATTTATCAATTTAAATGTATAAAAATACGTAGTATTTAGGTGTGATTATTGAAATATTTGGACGATATTAAATTCTCTTCTGTTGCCTTGTGGATAAAAGTATAAATCGTTATAGCTTTATTAGAATGGCTTTAGATTTCGAAGTTTGATATGTTCCCAAAATTGTTTATTCGCATCTTTGAGTTATCGCGGCATTATTTTCTAAAAATATATCAAGTGTAAGTACGATGTTTGACGTTTTACAATCTTTATTTACATTATTAGCTGGTAATAATTAGTTCACTGGAGATCCGTAGGGGCGCTGTTTCTCTCTGTGCAGATGGCGCTGTTAATTGTACATTTTTTTATCAGAACTTTACAGGACAATAATGGCGACGAGTTCTCGTTGGCGTACACTTTACCTGTTGACAATCCCAATCAGTTTAATATGAAAAGTCACGCGAGTTGGCAAATTTTGAAGTGACAATTGTGTGCTAATGCATTTCTGGCGATCAAAATCGCAAAGCTGCGCGAGAAATCCGGAACTTTTCATAGAAAATTTCGGTTGCCAAGCTATGTAAATTTCTATTTTCATTTTTCGACATTACTCCAATTCACTGGCTCGTTTTTTGAAAAAATATGTCAACTTTCCGTGGAGGCACATTTAGGAGCCTCATGATTTCGTGAAGCATTCGGATGAAGTATCCCAGTGAATTCTAAAACAAAGTCTCTGTCTACTCCATACTCCACTCCTGGCTTCTGCCAATGTGATGGAAGCTTATTCTACTATCCTTAATACCTCGGCGCAGTATTTCCTTGGATAATTACAGTTCCAATTCTTTTCAAGAGAGGATGGCAGTTCGCATTAATCTGGAGTGTGGGCATACGTCTATGTTACGTGAGCGTACCACTCCTGAAGGGTATACTCATGATTGGGAAGTATTTGTGCGTGGTGAAAACAATGCTGACATACAGCAATATATTGACAAAGGTAACCAATTTAATATCTTAAAGACCTTCATATTATTTCTTATTATTTTCTTATTTGATTTCAATATGTAGTGGTATTTCAACTGCACGAGACATTTCCCAGACCAAAGAGGGTATTAAGAGAACCACCTTATATTGTCAAGGAATCTGGTTATGCTGGATTTGTTATACCAATATATGTACATCTGAAAAACAAGGATGAGCCAAAAAGATTTCAGATAAATTATGATTTGGTATTACAACATGGACCAGCAATAAATAATGTTATTCGGCACACGCAAACCTTTTTTAATCCTTCAGATGACTTTAGAAGAAAGCTATTGAAAGGTGGTGCTGTAAGTATTATTTTTTTATTAGAAATTTTTGTAAGTAATATAATTCATCGTATCGCTATAGTTTCAATGGCTTTATTCTAGGTGGTAGTGTCAAACGCTATTGGTGCTTCAGATAAAGGAGAGTCAAAAAATACAACTCTAATGGTGGGTAAACCGAAATTAAGTGGTTCTGAAGTAAAAAAACATCGACTTCCAGAATCTCGACCATCGAGCTCCTTTACAGATCTCTTTGGCACACCAATAAAAACTGTCAAGGGTTCTCCAGACAACAAGAAAGCATTGTCTACAGATAAAACAACGAGTAACTTGAAACCACCTGGTGTAAATGAGAAATCTGATAAACTAGAGAAGATCTTGAAAACAAAGCACAGTCCCCACAAAGATGGCAGAAAGGAAAAAGTTTCTGGGGAAGAAAAAAAGGAAAAAAAGGATAAAGATCATGCAAAGGACAAGGATCGTAATAAGGATAAATTAAAACGACCTCCAAGTCCTGAGAATAAAAGTAGTCATTTAAGTCCTGGTATTAAGAGGACGTCTTCTCCCCTTCCGATAAAGAAACCAGCGAGTCCTATACCTCAGCCCTTGAAAAGGCCATCCTCACCCAGAGCCAAAGAGAAGGAAGCTAAGAAGCCTCTTATAGACAAAGAGCGGGATAAGGATAAGGAAAAAATTAAAGATACCTCGAAAACCTTGACTGATAGCTTGAAGAGTGAGCGTAAGAAAGACAAGAAGAAGCACAAAGAAGACAGGGATAAGGAAAGAAAGGAGAAGCACAAGGATAGGGATCGCGAGAAGTCGAAAGAAGCTGCGAAGAATTCTGAGAAGAAACCAGAAAAACTGGAAAAATTCGAAAAAGTTGACAAGGAGAAAAACCAGGAACCGAAACCCATGAAAGAGGGTCGAAAGTCGCCAAAGCCATCAAAGATAGTAGAGAAGGTTGCAGATGATAAGCAGGTAAAGGAGAAAGTGGATAAAAGTGACAAGATCGATAAGACAAAGGAGGCTAAAAGTGATAAGGATCGTCCAAAGCACAAACATAAGAAGAGAGATAAGAAAGATCGCAGAGATGGTAGCAAGGAACACGAAAAAAAGGAAAAACGGGATAAGGTTAAATCTTCCTCAGAGAAGCAAAATAATCTCTCAGCCCAATCAGCAAATTCTCTAGCGACACTTGCAACGGAAATTGTTGATAGAGATAGTAGTGATTCAGCACCATCCCCAGATGACGATTCACTATCCGAATCAAAACCGCTAGCTACCTTCCGTAAAGATCCTGGAGCAACATCGATTCCATCGACAGAAATGGCGAGACCTCCGTCACCGCCGCCACCCTTAGAAGTGAAAAAAGAACGCGGTGAACGGACCAAAAAAGATAAGTCGAAAGCTGGTCGCGCCGAGGAGCGTGAACGAAAGCGTAAACGCAGAAGCGATAGCAAAGGAGATGAAGAGCCAATAATAAAACGTGAAAAAGATCGAGGACGATCAACTTCACCGCCTTTGGAACCAGTGTCATCGAGTCAGTCTCCGGTTGCCATAGACGCAGAGTCTGTTCACCCTACAAAGGACAAAGAAGATCGTACTGAATCTTCCGAAGTGATCAAGACTGAAGGTGATGCGGAACAGGTAGCACCAGACTCTACGAACAATGCAATTCCTGAATCGGAGATGAGCGAAGCGCCTTTAGTCTTCTCCGAGGATTACGTGTCACAATTGAAAGATCTTCAGCAGAAGATTATGACTCTTCAGGACAATCAGGAACTTCAGAGGGTCGTGCAGGTGATAGCGGAAACAGGACAGTACGAAATCACCAAGAAAACGTTTGACTTTGATCTTTGTACCCTGGACCGTAGGACGGTGCAACGATTACAGCAGTTCTTCTCTGCTTCGTGACCAGCCATCCCTTAATCGAAGTAAAGTATGGCTGACTGATTGTGCATGTGACCGTGTAGTGATTCTACAGTGGCAAAAAAATTATGTGGTGTGTTTCCATAGCGCGATCTGTGATTATTAATGACAGAGACAGGAATGTCGTCTATTCCGGGCGAGAAAAGTGGATTCGCATTCTTTTTGTTCGACCAACGAAGATGACGTTTCTGCGGATCCTAGCATTTACCTCGGTTTTCAGCATCGGCAGCGGCAGCAGCTCTCTAAAAAAAAACGAAAAATCCGCGGATCATAGATCTTAGGACTGTCCGGAAGTCTGTCCAGAGAATCCATATATTCGAATCTGTTGTTCTGAAATTTATATGTTGTATTCGAGTCTTCGGTGCATACAGTAGTACATGCAGGCTCATTTATAATTTCTTATTTCTGCAATGCCAAAGACATTTTATTTTTGACTGCACAAACCAGGAGCTTTCTTACGCGTATAAATAATATATTAACATCGTGCGTCTTTTTCGATGAATTTATCGACAGGATTTTGTACAGTAAAGGTGTCGGATCGCTGTTTTTCTAAAACAGGATAATAAATTTTATAAAAATTTCTACACATTGGTCCATGTGAGCGAATAAGATATTATTCTTGTATGGCGTCCACCGAATTTATCAATTACGATGTCCATCAGTTATCTGTCGATAAAGTAGAATATTCTTATAAAATGGGAAAGACTCATTGCGCGAAAATCTTGTAACGATCTGCATTACAATTATCGACAATGATTTCATGACTCACAGAAATTACGTTAAATTTTTTTTTTAAGTTCGTATGCATGCAAGACTAGGAACTTTGGAGAGATTTATTGATGAAAGTTATCTGGTTTGTAATATACAAACGGATAATTTTGACCTCCGGTAAGAAGAGCTGCCTGGTAGATTATATATACATACACATATATAGATATATATACATATATAAAAAAAGAAAGGAAGTAATCCAATCTCATGAAATTCAGAACGCCACGTATTTATTGTTAGTTTTCGTCAGTTAAAGTTACGACAACGCGCTCGTTAGTTCTGCAAAGCAAGCGACTAATAATTTATTTATGGTTACTGATAAGTGATTTGTATTGGCGTGAACAAATGCCGATAATGTAAAGGTTGTTACCGAAACTAGTGGAAGAAGCCAACTCTACACAGTTAATTCTTATACAATTGGCCCATGTAGAGTTGGATGCGACTCATTGCGAAAGTTCGCGATTAATGTTGCATTATCTACAGTCGGTAAAGTCAAATGTACTACCACGTTTCTCTATTTTTTTTTCTTTTATCAAGATCCCTATTTCTTTAACGACAAAATTTTGGTGTTTTGATTTTTTTTTTTTCTAATTATAATTAGACACGTAATATAAAATAGAGAAACATAGGTAATCGTAAGACGGGAGAGAACACTTGCACAAAATTCAGTTTTCAGGGGTCGACTGAATAATGATTGAATTATTCTTTTCTCTCGCGTCACTGTAAATAATTGAATAAATTCATAATTAATTGTAAAAATCGCGCTGTACAATTACTCGTTGTGCGACAACGAGGTGGTCTGCTATATTCTTGTTTTTTTTTTCTTTTCTTTTTTGAGCCTGATCATCTATCACATTGTAAAATTGTGCCTCCAAAATGTGCTCTTTGTGCGAAATATACACGTGTTCAATCACGAAATTCATTCAACAAGATATGGGAAATTTTAATGAGGTAATGCATAATAGCATGTATGAACCATATTCCTCTATAGCGATCAACTGAATAGTGCTCCTAATGCAAATACATTCATAAAGTATTGATGCAAATTTTACCGTATCAACAGACGGTAATAAGTGCGTTATTTGAACATTGACAAACATAACGTGTCCAAATTTCCGAATAAAAAAGCACCTGCAAGAATTTTGAGATATCCTTGAATTCTCATAATGAGTAACTAGAAATCCTTTGCATGATGGTCAAAAACGTTTGATTGCCTGCAACTTTCATTAATTCAGAATTGATAGTCGCACTTTGCGTATTAGACTTATTTATCATGCGCAGACCACACAAGGACACAATATACATATATACTTACTATAATATATTATATTGTTATATTTGAGAGTGCAGAAAAACAAACAAAAAATTAATAATTGTAAAATTCATTCGTCATAAACTCTAACGTCGGGCAATACTAGAAGAGACAAAATGACACTAGAGAATTATGACAGCGAAATGAAAGAATATATATATATATATATATATATATATATATATATATATATATATATATATGTTTGTACAGAAATAGAAAGAATTGCATTCTATCGGTTTCCAGTATATGTAATTTTAAATCTACGCCACACACACCCTACTTTCTAAAGTATAGTGTATAGCTTTCGCGATCGCATTGTATTACACCGTTCTAGCAATTTTTTTATGTAACAACAATTAGCAGAAAGGGATACGGAATGAATAGGGATGCTCGACTTCAAGACTTATACGGAAAGTATAACTTTCGGAATAACTAGATCTTCGGTTGAATACACATCCTTATATAAATTTCATTTTGATAATTATCCGTTTCACCTGTTATACGTTTGAATCTCCATTGCCTAGCTTTATATTTTTTTTCATCAACTCTCCAGTTTTTGCATGTTACGTTTTCCAAATTACCATAAAATACATTTTTTTCTAAATGAGCATTTCCAAATAATATACTGACATAATCAAAATATCTATGTATGACGTATCTGATTAAAACTTATTTAATGTATTACATTGTTGCCGGTAGAATGGGTAACTTAATGTATGTACACGTTTGTTGCAATTAGCTTTATATCTACTGCCGTCAAACACAAAGTCTCATCAGACCTCAATAATGCCTTTATATTTGTAAATTTAAAGATGTATGTAAGATATCTTTATTATATAGTTCCTCCTGTGTGCCGGTATAAATTTTAACATCACGAGCAATAGTGCATTTAGTCATTATAAGCTTTATCCTCCATGAAAAGTTTTTAAGATTCCTGATCTGGCAAAGTTATCTTAAAACAGTCTATGGCAGAGATGAGTAGGGAGATGCACAGCGCTACGGTTTTAGGGGATACCAAAAGCGTGGCCCTGAATCGCAGCGGCGAGTCCGGGAGTAGGATTCTGTGATCATCGCCTCCGTCGATAATGCGAATCCCGTCTTAACCGAGCGGACCGCGATCACGAACGTGTAGCTTGGCGGGCAAAGGCTCTTCCCTACTTAAGTACCTCTTGGGATCTCGGAGAAATTAAGATATGTCACTGGTTTGATTCACAAGTCTGCTTGTACGTACAACTGGTGCGATAAAGCTGTGAAGCCGCCTTTACATCATTTACTTTCAAAGTCCACTATGATCTTTGGATTTCGCTGCGGTCGCGAAAATTTCACATAATATTCCTGTGCGTATAACTAAACTGTGACCAATCCGTAATCATTGTATAGATTTAGTTTCATACTCAGGGGACTTTTTTTGACATAGTATGCCCGTTGATTGTACCTAAGAAGTTGGCCTCGAAAAGAAACTGATATCGAGCAACGACTACATCTGTAATTGGTCACAGATTAGTGGCGCCGCCATATTTTGTTCTTATTAATGTATTATTGGAATATTTATATAAATTTTCACATTCTGTACAAAACAATCGATGCAAATGAAGAGTAATTAATTGTCAATACCGAAGTCAACTTACTTATTGATCATTATCCTTGTTAATTAACAAAGATAATTCAATCAACGACTCGGATCACTGTGGAGATATTGGTAGAGGCCCAGTCTATGTATATTATGTGTTTGAAATGAAATGTGCGGCTTATTAACCCCTTCCTGAACTTTTATATTAATTCCAGCATACTTCCTGTGTCTACTGTGCCCAGTACATACCTGTCAGACACAAAGTTTCTTAAGCCTAGCTGTCTTTATTAGTATTTCTTCGGTGGTCAGACGTACGGCCCAGTGGCTCTCATTCTTCGCACAGATGATTAAAACTTTGAATCTATCTATAGAGTGATTTATTGGAGTACAAAAATGATTTGAGGCAAATACATCAGTTTAACTGATTTTTAAATTAATTCTATTTATAAAGTATGATTGACAACGACACGACCCAGTTCAATATGTAATAAATTTCTCAGGAATGGTAACACGAACTTTCATTTAGTAAAATTACGAAAACTGAAAAAGCCTCAGCCAATCGTTGCAATCGCCTTCTTTTGATAATCGCATCTGACTAGCTAAAAGCTACTTGCTATTCGCATTTTCACCAGTGAAAGGTCAGTAATTGAACTCAATGTGTGCCGTTATTCTACTCTGTCTGAAATTCTCATTAGGAATGTAAATTGTTCATATTTTATATCGCAATCGGACTTTGACATTTCGTATGCGATCGCTTAATCACCTATACTCAAAGTCATCTTTCCTGAAAGGTGTTCTCTGTAAGCGGCTTTGTATCATTTAATTTTAAAGAAACAGCAAGAATGCCAAGTGAATTACGTTTCGACGGTCGTGTGGTTATTGTAACCGGTGCTGGAGCAGGTTTGTTGTCAGTTATATGAACAGGTGTCATGTAAGTGGAAAGTTTGGTATACTTATTATTTGAATTTTTATTTTAGGTCTAGGTAAGGCCTATGCACTTCTATTTGCATCAAGAGGTGCTAGTGTTGTTGTCAATGACTTGGGTGGAGGACGTCATGGTGATGGTAGCAGTTCAAAAGTTGCTGATGCTGTCGTAGAAGAGATACGTAAGAATGGTAAGATCATTTTTCTTCTTTTGTATTTTAATTTTCTAGAGTATAATAATATGAAATTCTGTAGGAGGCAAGGCTGTAGCAAATTACGACAATGTCTTGGATGGAGAAAATATTGTAAAGACTGCCATTGATGCGTTTGGACGCATTGATATTCTTGTTAATAATGCTGGGATTCTACGTGACAAATCCTTTATCAAGATGTCTGAAGCTGAATGGGGTACTTTTCAGTTTTTTATTTATACATAACTGAATCACTTTTGTTGTTATTATTATGATATTTTATATTTTAGATCTCATTCAAAATGTTCATGTCAAGGGGCCTTTTAGAACTACTAAGGCTGCTTGGCCCTATTTCCGCAAGCAAGGATATGGTAGAATTATTTTCACATCAAGTAACAGTGGTCTCTATGGTAACTTTGGGCAAGCTAATTATAGTTCAGCAAAAATGGCTTTAGTTGGTTTGGCCAATACTTTGGCTATCGAAGGAAAGAAAAATAATATTCACACAAATGTATTAGTGCCAACTGCGGCTTCACGCCTCACCGAGGACATTGTGCCCCCAGGTAATTTTTCAAATTGAATAATGTAACTCTGTATTTATTTACAAATTATATATTATACAATCAAATCAGTAATGCATTTTGTATAGATTTCTTCAAAGAACTGAAGCCAGAGCTCATTGCTCCAGTTATCGCTTGGTTGTGCCATGAAGACTGTACTGAAAATGGTTCAATAATTGAATCAGCTGTGGGTTGGGCTGGAAAATGTAAGTGATTTAAATATAATATGATCTTTGTAGTAATGATGTCTGTAATTAAATTCCTCTTATCATTAAAAGGTCATTTAGTTCGTTCATCGGGTGCCATTCTGCGTCAAAGTCTGACAGACAACGTGACTCCGGAAAAAGTTCGTGAAAATTGGTCGTCAGTTACGGACATGAAAACGGCAAAACATTACGAATCTATCGAAGTAAACTTAAACCTTTTTCCATTGATAATAAAAAAATATCCTAATATTTACGCAACAATTTATATTTATTTAGGAAACTACCGGGGAACTCATGAATGTACTAGAGAAATTGAAGTCAGGCGAAGAAAGTGTAAGTCAATTAATCTTCATAGTGAATACTCAATAGTAACATAAAATAATAAAATTGTAAAGTAAGTTTTTTATCCATGCAGCAAGAATTTGTCCTCCAGCACAAGTATAATCATCGTGACACAATTTTATATGCACTCGGGGGTATGTAACCAAGTTTTATTATAAAAAAAACGAACACAAAAACACAAAATAAATATTTTGCAGTTGGTGCATCTGTAGATGAACCGACAGATATTCAATTTCTGTACGAGAACCATGAGAATTTCTCAGTATTACCGACATTTTACGTAATTTACGCGCCTATGGGGCTCATGTCATCTCCCATATTACAAAATATCATTCCAGGAACACAGTTGGATCCCACTCGTGTAAGAAACATCACAGAATTCTGTATTCTGTAGTATCTTGAAAAAAACGGAATAATTTTTATAAACGTTTATAATTACAGACTTTACACGGTGAGCAATATTTAAAGATACTTCGTCCAATTCCTACTGAAGCTGATGTGGAGACACGTTTCAAGGTACAATCAGTACTCGACAAAGGAAAGGGTGCCGTTATCTTAGTTGAACGTATGTACAGGAATAAACTTTAATCACGTGACAAGTAATTAGAAATAATTCCTATGCAATAATTATGTTTTTCTTATAAACTTACAGATGAAACCTTTGATCTTTCTAATGGAGAGAAGTTGTCTACAGGTCAAATTTCAGCATTTGCTATAGGCGCTGGAGGTTTTAATGGGCCACGAAATTCTGACAGTATCATACCATGTATAGAACCACCGAAACGTAAGCCAGATGCCTCGATTGTTGAACGCACAATTACTAATCAGGTAATTATGACACAGAGTCTATTTATTGGGGTTAGTAATAAGAAAAGTAAGAAGGGTGAAATATCAAGTAAAAGTGTATTGCTACTCTAGATCAATATTTACCTGTTCAATTTTGTTTTACAGGCTGCTATTTATAGACTAAGTGGCGACTATAATCCTTTGCACATGGATAAAAGTATTGCTGAATTGGGCGGCTTTGAAAAACCCATTTTGCATGGTTTGTGCTCACTTGGTTTTGCAACGCGACATGTATTGCGAGTATATGCAGGCAGCAATCCTGAATATTTTCAATCAATTAAGGTAATGATTAAACACATCTTTTAACGTACACAGATGTATTTACGTGGAAAATAATTTATCATATCCAATGACATTCAAAAATATTGAAAAGAAAATCAGACCTTGTAATTGATTAAATATCTTAACATCAAAGTAGTCTGAATTCAGATTGAATTTTGTTATAAATTTATATATATATTCATGTATATATTGCAACATTACGTAACAAGTGCGGAAGTGTACAAGCGCCCCTTGAACTGTATCGATGATTAGCGTGACGATAAACTTTTTTATTCAGTTTACCACGCCCCGTTGGATTGGGCGATTCTGTACGTTAGTTCCCGCTTTGATTCGTAACATATATGAGCACGATTGTATAATTTTCATATTTTTAAGTTTGTAGCACGGTGTTAATGTTTTTAAATATTTTTACATCGTCTTGTCATTCGTTTCACTTGAACTCGAAATATTTCAGGCTCGATTTACGAAACCTGTAATTCCTGGGCAGACACTTCGTACAGATATGTGGCGCGAGGGAAATAGAATTCACTTCCAAACCTCTGTGGTAGAAAACAACACTCCGGTTGTAACGGGTAAATATATTCCTGGTCAAAATAAAGTGATTTTGGTTTTCTTAACCTCAAATGTATTTAAGTTATATGTCATAGTTCAATCAAAGCTGTTCTGAATTTATTCATACATATTTATGGACGTGTATAAATAGTCTGGATTATTTTAATTTCATATAAATTCAAAGAATACTACTAAATGAAGAACGCTTTATGTAAATTAAGGAATTATTATTAACTTCTATGCATAACTGAATAGGGGCATACATCGATCTGAAGGATGTACAAATCCAAGTTCCGAAGCTAAATCCTTGTTCAGCTGGAGAACACCTTGAAAGTGATGCTGTTTTTAAGACTATTGCTGAATATGTCAAGACTCATCCAGATCAGGCAAAGAAAATCAATGGTATCTTTCTCTACATTGTTACCAGCAAAGGAGAGACGAAGGCTCAGTGGAGTTAGTATAATCATGAATCTAGTGATTAGCATTTTTTATCTGAATTTTTTAATATGAAATTTTCTTTTTTTATTAAGCTTTGGATTTGAAGAAATGTGAAGTGTACAAGGGTGAACTAAAATCTGGTAAAGCAGATACCACATTGACAGTAGAAGATGCTGATATGGTTCAAATCGTAAGTATATTTTGAATGCAGTTCTACTTGGGTTTCAATGAGTTTTGGTTGATTATGTGTAATTTTAAATGGTAATGCCTTTTAGTTTTTAAAGATAATTTTTAGACAAATACTATGGCTTGCAATGACATTTAACCCTTACTTTCTACTGTTTGGTCAAAGGGACTCGGCGAACATGTGAACCTCTGTAAAGACATAGAAACAGTAGAAATCGAGGGTTAAAATATATTCAGTCGACATTTCCTTAGTTTTGTTTATATGAGATGTGTTTCCTGCTTTCTATTTTCATAGGCCTTGGGCAAACTGAACCCTCAGGTGGCATTTATGAAGGGCAAGCTGAAAATCAAAGGAAACATAATGCTTACGCAAAAACTAAAAGCTTTAATGGATGCAAACAAATCGAAATTGTAAGATTATCTTAATCGTCGTTTAACATTGCAGTATGTTAATTTTCCAATGTTACTAGACGAGACTGTTAAACTATCTGAATGTATATTACTTTTTTAATGGTAGATAGGACATATGGAGATATAATTTTTATACAGCTTTGCATTTGCACATTGGGTTTGGCATGTTTTTACAAAAATGTTGATAAGTCAAACTTAGCTTGTATATCCAAATATTGTTATAATGTTCAACGAATTTGAGGTGGCAGCATAACGCGTCTCGTTATTGTTATATCCATATATAAATAAAAACATGATTTCAATTTTTTTTTTCTTATTGATTTTTCATCTGCAACCAAAGAATCGAATGACAGAGAATGTGTAGGTATTTACTTACAGGACACAGCAGCAAATATGTTAATGTAAAATTTGTGTAATATTGTTTATTTCGAGGCACAAACTTATGTACAGAATTTTATCAATGAAATGCGCATCGGATGTAAAAATGTAATACATTTTCCATTGTCAATTAGCTGTGGCGCTAATATAATTTTTAAAAGATTATCCCTTTCGCACTGATGAGAACCCATATACAGCTGGGATTAAAAAAAAATAAAAAATAAAAAATGTATAAAGTCAAAGTTCAATGCAGATCAACAGAGGTAGAATAAGGAGCACGGAATTTGATAAAAGTCCAAAGGACTCGGAAACAGGACGTAGTTTCGTTTCTGATAAATTTACCAAAAATAGAGAACACTACAAGGCAATAAAAGCCTACTAATGAAACGATTTGTTTAAATAAAAGTAGTTGAAAAATGACGTCACAGAATTCTAATAAAGAAATCCTTAATTTGAAACCATCCAAAAATACAATCTCGCTTAATTGTTCACCATAATTTAATATGGCGTCCGCCAAAGATGCAAAGTATAATCACAAGGCAGTACGGAGCTTTAATACATCGTAAGTCACTGAATGTAATGTAAACAGGCCTGGGCCCGGTAAAAAGAAAAAAGAATTAATTTCTATATGGTTGTGGCCGACGAGTTTGTTTCTTTCCCATACTGGACAGGTCTATTGTCTGTCCACCAGGTAGTACCAATTTATTCTCCTGATAATCCACGAAGCCATTTTGTTTATCATCCTCTTGCTGCTGTTCGCTGCACCTTATTCCAGTCTCGTATGTGTATTCTCGACGCATGCCATCCGGATCGATGTATCCATACTTGCCACGAGTTATGCAATCAACACCGATTAATTCCTCCTTGTAAGAGCCATCATCATTCTCAAATCCCCACGTGATGGAACCGTCAGGATTGTCTTCACGGTAACGTCTGATAACCTGTCATTATCAAATCACGCAAACGTCTTCAATATTGAACTTAAAATATATTGCAAAAGTCCGTTTACATAAAATTCAGTTAACATTCAACTATCTTAAGTAACCCATTGACCACTGACGTGTCTGCATTGAAACGTGTGATTGGTCAATGTGGTATTATTTAAGGCAGTTAAATTTTGAACTGATGATGGTGCAACCAGACCTAAATAGAACAAGTTATCTACTACGTTTCCATTTAATAAAGTTTGCAAAACAGATGTAACGTATAACAAGTATACAAAATGAATGACACCCTATATAGTAGAATGATGGTTGTTACTCTCTAAATTTGGAAATACTTCTCCGTTAACATACCTGTGCAACTGGCTTCTTTTCACGAGGTTCATAGTTATCCTGGGCCACTGGCCTAGGTTGGGTCTGCTGTACTCTCTGCTGCTTAATCGGCGCGCGTATTTCCAAATCCTCAATGGGTTTCTTGGGCCTCACTGGTTTCTGAGGCCTGTATTGCACAGGAGTGATACTCTGCTCCGGCAGTGGTGCAGGTCGTGCTACGGGCAGACTAGGTCTATACTGTACAGGTGCTGGCTGTGCCTGTGGTGCCAATGTCGAGAAGATCTCTCCGGATTGATGTCCGATGTTGGAAACGGCACCAAGATTTGCAATGACTTGAGCAACATTGTCATCCTCTTCACTTTCCTCATTGACTGGTTTCACCTGTTGTGGCGTAGGTGGTGCTGATTGCAATGGACGCACTAAAGGAATCGGATTTTCGTTGTCAATACCACTTGGGCCTGGACGAGGTCCTCGGACTCCTGGGAAGGCTGGAATTTCCGGTTCTTCACTGGCACTTTGCCGAGGTCTAAGAAATTCATAGAGTGATAAAATATTACTTGTATTACAAATTTGCATCAATGGCAAGATTGATTTCAATTACTTTTCTATTTACCTAAATGCTAGTGGACGACGAACACGTTGATTTCCTAGGACAGGTTGTGCATTAGGTTGCAGTCGACCAGCTTGTAACCTTTGGAGCCTTCCTGGTCTTCCGGGACCTGTTGACCCTTGACCTAATGCTCTCTGTGGTTGCGCATCTATATCCTCATTGGAAAATTGTGCCAGTGCAATGCTAACCGTACATACAATGATCTGTAAAAAAGATCATACAATCATTGATTGACAATATTTATCCAAGATAAATATGACTTTTGGCTTCTAATAACGGGTGGTACCTCATAAAATTATAATCGCCACTCGTGCGATAATTTCTATAAAAGAACGTATTAATATATACAACGTAATAATTTCTATAAAACAACGTACTTTCTACTGGTAACTTACCGTAAGAATTAATAGTAATTTAAAATAAGCACGCATAATCCAGATTCTGACGTTATTTATCGAGTTTATTTACTCGGAGAAAGTTCAGTATTCAATATACGACATTAACATGGCACAAGTATATCATGCCGTTACTTTATTACATATACTTGGAATACGTAAATATCCGTTCACATATGTAAATACCTGTACATACAGGGTATATCATACAGTTCAATAATCCTTCAAAGAATTAAGTCCCATATACTTTACTATCCTCAATTATAATTCACGTACGATTAATCCACTTGTGGCTTTTTCAATTCCGAGATTAAACTATTGACGTTTGTAATACGTTCTTAAAAATTATATCCTCTTACAGCCAGTTTCTTCACTTTCGGTTAAAATTTAATCTGCGAATAAATCCTCAGCTAATCAATCATTTTCATGTTTTAGGAGTTTATCCGCAGGTTTAATTTTATCCGAAGGTGGAGAAATTGGCCATTAAAAATAATTCGATGACGTACACCCAGTATAAGCAACTACGTGTCACGCTTACCAATTTTGCAAGGAAGAAAAAGCTTTTCCTGACAAACATCAAAGAAAATCGAGAAAGGCCATCATCGTTTTATAGAAAGTGAGCAAAGACCCATTCACATAATTAATCAATGAACCGAGGGAAGCATATATAGGAATACTAATTCTTCAAACAGTACATAAGAGACAAACTAAAGGTCTCATAACGTGCGTATACCAACATCCTTATATGTATTGATAATTCTATTAATTGTTATTCGACTCGTGCCGACATCAAAGTTCAATGACTTATCGCTAATACTCATACCGATTCTTAACGGCGGCCAGAAAGACACACCCAGTATGTCTACGTGAAAACTCGTTTATCTCTATCTCCTGGTCGCTCTTTTATACAATACGAAAACTTTCTTTCGGCCGCGTTAGAAATTCACCGAATTATTCATGCCCAGTGTCAACGCCTTCTTTGTGACTGTCGCACTGACGTGCCCGTTTGGGGTTACTAATGGCGGCCATGTTCGTTTCGACTTTTGACGGTATTCGATTTTACGGTTTTTGAACTGGGCCGAATGTCAAGCCCACTTTCTTATGTATATCAGCGTGCTCCAGAATTCCAAGATATCTACGTATATATATATCACACAATTTGTCTTGCGAAACCCAGTTAAATCACTTTCTCTCTTCGACTGCTCTCGGAGATACATGTGTAATGAGCCTAAGAATTCAGTCTACTCGACAGTTTACGCATTATTCGACAGCTTTAGGAACACTATGAATTACGTCAGGGATATTATGGAAATGCGTATGCATTGTCATTTTCATCAGAAATAATTATGTGTTCTCGAAAACGATCAACAGTCTGCTATTGTTACACTAATTATATCTGAACATTCTGGATGTATATATGTGTTATACATATAGCTTTTACTTTTCCTTTCGTTCAGTCAATTATACACTATGTCAATATAGATATGTATATTATACGTATATCTTACGTAACGCTAGTAATGCTAACCAATTTTAATTTTTTTAATATACATATATAATAGTCAAACTAAAATAGAAAAAAATTCGCACGCGCGGTATTGGAACTGCATGACGAATTTTTCTTTATAGAAAAGATTTACAAACCACGCGTGTCATCGATACAAAATTGTTTTCTGGTCAAGCTGTTGACTTTGCATGATTTTTCAATTCGACGAAACACAATGAATCGCCGCGGAATGCAGTTTTCACATTTTCGCAGAAACCCAACTTATTTGCCGTTTGCTTGTGGTTTTACGTTCCTTTTTTTTTTGTCCCACACTTTACCCCACCGTATTTCTCCAATCTATCCGTTTCCTCGCGGTTTGTACTTCTTGGTCTCTCTTTTTACTCCTGTCCGCGCATTCCGCTCTCGCCACTATTTACAGGTTATGTACGAACGTTACTATGCCCGGTATTGGTCGTTCCTTTTTTTGGTAATACGATAGACTTGCACAGATCGATCTTGGGCCCGAGTGATCTACAGTGTTCGTAAAAAAAACCAAAGCAAATGGAGATCCTTATGCTCGACCTTGCGTCATACCAGTGATATCCAGAATATCCTGGATCCTTTTATTATTGATTTCTTTTTTATTTATTTTTTCAAGCACCAAGATCAGTTTAGACATTCTTGATTAACTGTACTTTTGGTTCATCCTGTTACGTGATATATGAAAGATAATCTTATCCAGACTTTCTTTATATTTATTTACACTGCCCTTTCAAGACCAACATTTCGCGTAGTCATTCGTGCCATTATGTTGACCTGGATTTTGCTACTTAACTATCTGAACTGACAGCCTTCGGATTTTTGCTAAACAAAAATAAAATGGCACCACGTACATCCGCTTCGCTTATAATCGAAGTTATTTGGTTGGCACAATTGCGAAATGTTTTAATAACTCGAAAGATTCGATCCATTCGAATATTTATTACGTAACCAATTTAAATGCTTGTACGGTCAAGGAAGCTTTTAGTTATTGGCAATTAAATTATTTGTCATTGTAATAATTAGTTACCGGTCAACTAGCCGTCGCAATATATTAATATATTCACAATCTTATTAATCATTCTCAAATTTTTATATAATATTTCGTGTAATCTATACAAAATTGATTGCGTATTGCGTCATTGCATTCGAATGCACATCGATCGATTGATAATCAAGGCACACCGATTCGTAATCCGTTATCTTAACGGCACATACCATGGCTATTCGGTGGTACCGTTATGTCGTTGGAAAATTGAAATTAAAAAAATGACAAAATCATCGACGTATTCGATTTATTAATTGAGTCTGTATATTAATTTATGTATGGCTATCACCTTGTTTTTTTTTTCACTTTACATTCATTATATCTATATCGAGACTTCGTACGAGCACGTTACTCATTATTATCCTCGTAAAAATGTACAATGTTATTGGATTGCAAAATAACGTAATTGTCTTAATTGCACGGAGACGAAATTAACTGCGGCCACTAATTACTACCTTATTTCGCGTAAGCCCATTGTCACGTGTAATTGAAATTACAAAGTCTAAGGAAAGTCGGATTTAACAAGAAATTGCACGAGGGTGGTATCAACATTTTTTTAAATTAAAAAAAAATTATTACCAACCAAACGTGACAAATCAAAATTCAAATTATCACTAAACGACGAGGTACGTTTATTGTCGTAGAAAAGGCGTGAAATTCAAAAATCAGTCGTAGGGCTGATTCTCGTAAATAAAAAAAATACAATGTTTTAATCGGTGTCCCAAGAGCGAGTTATAGGGTGGCGGAATAAGGGAGGCACTCGGGAGTTATGAAAATAAAAGTGAATAAGGACTACAAAAAAGAGAGGGAGAATGGATGAAATATTTTTTTAAAAATAATAAAAAAGTTAAGGGGGACGCTCGAAGGGAGACAAAATGAAAAACGATCACGTTTAAACTTACCAGCAATGGCGCGGTGTACCTTAAGGTGGCCATGTCTCGGAACGAAGTGTAAGACACTCTAGTGTACTGGGTGTGGTGCGTTATGCCTTACTAGTACGCCGGACTCCCCGTCTACCGTGTTCTTATACTCTTATATCCCCCATTAAATTGCTACGGCATTATAAGTATACGGGAGAGACACTGGGATACTGACAACGGGCAAGTCCGTCAGGTACGGCCGACTTTCCACCGACTCGAAATTTTTCGAAACTTCGGGGATACCATTTTTATTGGATAAAATGACTCATTGTTTTCGAGTGACTTTTTCGAAATTCCTTTTTTTTTCGTACACTTACAAAAAAAAAAAGTACAAAAAAAAACTGAAATTTTTTTGTTGAGATTTTTTTTTTCAAGAAGCGAAGCTTCATTATAGACAAGTTTTTGAAATATCCATGAATTTCGTATTTTTTAAAATAAAATCTGTAAACTTATTTTTTATTTTATTATTTTTATTAAATAATCGAATCCTTAATAAATATACACGGTGTATATACTGAGTTTGATATAGGACTGTACTTATTATTTGTAATTTCTATGTATAACTTTTTTAGGTTATATGTGTACAAGTGGAAATTAGATTACAAGTAAATTTTTAAAATTATTATATGTAATTAATTATATTGGATAATGCTTACCGGTGTTGTCGATTTACAAGAAATCCAAAATTTAGCGTTATACAGAGTGGCTAAAGAAGTACCTGCGATTAACTCGCGTACTCGTGCTCGAATGGAGAAATGATACATTTTTGATACCCGGTACATATGTGTTTGGATGTATGTACGTACATCGATCGGCCTCGATCGATTTCATTTCAAGGACTACGAGTTCGTCACGGTGCTTGCAACATTGGCGGAAGATCATATGAAGTAACATCAAGGATCGTTATATGAAAGTATAAACAGAAGTATTTTAAAAAATGTTAAAAATTTTCAACCAATCAATAAACGAGATATCCAAAAAGAGTGGTCAAACAAAATTTTTTCATTACCAATGTAGTACCCACACGATTCTGTATGTCCGCTTCGTTTTGGATTCCTAGTGATATTATAGCTTGTAGAAAGTAACTAGAATCCGTCTACTAGCTACAATGTATCCAGAAACGAAAACGCAAGTGAATTTGATGTGCTGTGAAATAAGTTTGCTTTCACTTAACTGACATTATGCATATGCAAATAAGGGATAGATATGTGTATATACATATATATTTATATGTACAATTTCTGTAATATCTAAAAAATCGTATTAAATGCGGATATAGGGATTTTAAGTAAGACGATGTTAATTAACGGTTATATAGCGGATGATAAAACAGCGATAACAAATGTAACGTATATTATATTATTTTTGAAAATTATTGTCATACTTGCTCGAATAAAGTCCAGCGTCACGTATACAATTCTCGGGGAATTCACGGCGTCGGTGGCGGCCATGTTGGCTGCTCGGTAGAATTTTACGCGCGGTCGTCCAGCGCTGAATCCCTGGGCTGCCGCTTTGTTCTTGGGATTCGTGCACACTGAATGATATGCTATGGAAAAATATATATTTCTTTGAGGTAAGTTAAGGGGTCATTGTAACTCCACCCCCCCCC